CTGACCTTTTGAGGAAGGGGAGTGAGAGAGTGGCATGGTGGAGCTGAGCTACCCACCAGTGTTAAACCACCACAAACTCTGATCCAATAACTCCTTTTAAAGCAATTTCTATCACATTAAATTAGACAAGGCTAACTATGAAACTCTGAAGTATTAAAGATCTTGTATTCACCTGCTGTCTAACTGTGAACTGCAAGTTGAACACAGCCCTTTGCTACCAAGAAACATGATTACAAATTGTTATTGACAAATTCTGGTCTTTCTAAAGTTCGTTTGGGGAGATATGCTCCAGGCATACAATAACATTCATGTCACCTTGGAACATTACATTCTGAGTGTGGCTTTTAGTTTGGTTTTAGCAAGCATTTAACAAGTACATTTTGGTCTGCACTACAGAGCGTCTCAGTGATAGTAATATTCTGAGCCAGGTCATACACTCTGCTTGTTACTGTGTCAAGAGGTGCATCTCTTCTAGTGGAATCATATCTGGCTGCTTCACAAAACAGTAGCCAAGCTTAGCAAAACTTAGTATTGGCATCTGAGGTGACATCTACTCAATCTACATGTTGATAGCAGAAATCGATTTTTTCCTGCTCCTCTAAGCCATGTTTCCATTAGTATATTATCATTATTGTTATCACCCTAATCACCTAGTCGGTAGTACAGTCCTGATGCCATATTTTTCCTATTTACGTCTCAAATTTCAATACAGCAATTTTAAGTTCTGTGTTGAGATAGCTTAATCTACCTGATTTGATCCTACATTATTTTTAATACATTGTGCAGTCATCTATCAGTTCAACTTTTCCAAAGCACTGTGCAGAGACAAATATACTGTCCCTTTGATGATTATTTGTCAAACAAGATTCTAATACACATGCTTCTGTGTCTCCTACACATCACATGTCCCCTTTTTTATCTGTCCATCTTTAGTATTCTTTTCCCTACAATGCAAATTAGAGTGCTAGAAATTTTTCTTCTGCAGCAGCTGCTATACTATGTAATTTTTACCTTTTCAAATTCCATCTGAAAATCTCTTTCCCCAATCAAAATTTTCTTGCACTACTGCTGATCTTGCTCATATATTGTTTAAATTGCTAATGTATTCTGACAATGGCTACAAAAGATAATAATTATGTGGTATCAAATATTGTCTATTTCCTCATATTTGTAGTAGATGTCTTATTAATGTATGGAGGCAATGGACTGAAAATCTGTGAGTGTGCTGTTTGACTTGAAAATATATGCATAGACCAAATTTTGCTAAATGGATATGATTACCATCTCAAATAACTTTTTTAGGCCCTGTGTAATGGCATGCTCCGTCTCTTCCCTTCTGTGTTTTAACATGTTTTCTTGCTCAGCTAAATCAAAGAAAATCTCTATTGTTTTAGCCTGGGTGAAATTTTAAAGAGACATGGGATAAGAATTCCATGGCCTGTGTGTGATCCAAATCTATATGATGCTACTGAAAACTGATCACAGTGGACTGCAGACCTCTAGATCCTAGCTATGCTTCTCTGCTGCTTCATTCAGTCTTAACAATCATTTCAGTAGCAAAAGTTTTGATTTCAGTAGTGTGTGTTTAGTCCATATGAAATATTTCACCAGATTGCTGTATTAAGTTGAAACTAGTTGAAGTCTTTATGACAAATTTAAAAATATATATATTACCATGTTTTGACTATTAAATAAATATTACAGATTAAAGGATTAAGCATAAATATTGTTTTTAGAAGTTTTATTTGGAGGAAACATCAGTACTTGCTATATTTACTCTAAGTACTAATATCTATCCTGTTTTAGAGAAATAGAGTAAAAGCAAGCCAACCATAAAAGGTAATTTTGGAACATGGTACTAGAAGCCCTTGTCTCATATAAGTGAGACTCACAGATGGACATACAGGAACACCAACAGATGATGAAATACAGTTGATTCTTCTAACAAGAAGAAGAAGCAATAAAGTACTACTCAAATTATGTCATTATATTATCACAAAACAAGAAATTACATGGAAACTGATATCCAGGCCTGATCTTAGAATTTAACTTGTACATGCTTAATTTGGGTAATAATAATGTGAAATTAAACAAGCTATAAACTACTTCAAATTATAGGGTTTATGTGAAGTTACCTGAGATCAGAGGCTTTTTGTTAAAATGTTATGTATTTTCACAGGAAAAATTACAACATATGTTGATACTTCTTTGTAACTATGCTACCTAATTTTAGTTATTTTGAGCATAATGGTCAAATAAGTATTTAATTGTACCTAGTTTATCAATGCTAATCACTAAAAGTTTATACTTGACGATTAATATTCTTAAGACCAAATAAATTTATAGGAAGAAAAATGTTTCACAGTTTGAAGTGTATTTCCCATAGGCAATAAAATAAGTAAACATCACTTTTCTGAAAAAAAAAAAAAATAAATCTACCTTTCTATTGGTAAATCCAACCTTAACTTCCTCACACAAACATTTCCCTGCAAGTTGTTCTTTTCCTGTAGTGTAGGTATGCTGCATTAAAATGAAACTGAAGACGTACTTTTGATCAACAAGTTTTCCCCAAATAATCTTTTTGTTTGTGTTAGTTGCAGTACATGCTGTAACTGTGACTTAAATCTTGCCAAACCATCAGACCTATCTTTCCTTCTATGCTTATGAGGGGAAAAGCTTCTTGCAATAGAACAATACATGTAATACCAAAGAAAAATGCTGGATGAAATTAGCCTTTTTCAAACGAAAACTAACCCCAGTAAATAGTAACTATAAAATTAAATGAAATTACATTTTCTGTCATTAAAATTGAAGACTTTTTTGTTCTGCAAAATCATGATGGCTTGCAATTCAACAATATCTCCAGATTCTGGAAAATTACCAGAAACTATGCCTAGCTGTGCTACCTCTGTGAAAAACTCCCTTTACAGTTTGGATACAGAACATTATGGGTGTGCTGCTGCCCTGGCCTTCAGCACCATCTGCTGGGTAATAAAAAATGGACAAATTCTTCAGCCTTGCTAAGGTCTTTTCTATCTTCTGTGCAGGGAAGCTTCACCTGCCCCACTCAGTCTGAGACCTTTAGATAAAGCATGTGATATCACTTAAACAGCAATGAAAAATGTTGAGATTTATTTATGCCAGAATTAACAGTAAGAGTCTAGAAATAAAACCTCCTGCAAAACTGAACCAATAGAGGTTATATCCTAAATTCCCAGCCTTTCCATCTTTAAGCTACAGAAATGTTACATTCTAAAAGGTACTGAGTAATTGGCAATAAGAATGTCAACAAAGTAAGTTCACTGACACCTAGCTTTAAAGATACATATAATCACGATTTTTTTTTTCCTTGAAGACCATTTCATAGAACTGTCAAATGCTATGTGAGCAGCTAAAAATTAAACTTGACGTTATTTCCAGGTAAACTCAGAAAATCTAAGAAGGACAAAACTAAATATATATATGTGACACACAGTAGTGACACACAGTCACTACTTATGCCAGTTATCTCAAAGACTGTGAATTATTTTGCTGGATTTTCACACGTAAAGAAGTCTTAATCATGATTTCTTTCTAACAAAGTTGAACTGAATGAGAAACTTCTGAAAGAAAAAAAAATGGCAATACCTTGCTTAGATCAGCAGTGTCTTGCAGAGAAAAAACAGGTAATTTACTATTTCCTTAACAACTATAGGAAAAAATGCCATAGCATCTAGCAGTAACAGAGATAATACTTGAACTCCTTTTCTTTTTCTTAGAGCAAGAGTTACAAAGCTTCAGTAGGTTATCTTCCCCAGAAATGCCTAGTAAATAGTTGCCTCTGTGAATTGAGATACTTCCAAAAACTGCATTAAGTTTTTGTTTGCAGGCCTGATGCCTTACAAAAATAGAACTAGCTGTAGTTATGAGCTCCCTTAGTATGCTGGCACAGTAACACTATCAAGAACGCCACAGGCTTGTTTGGAGAGTTCAAAGTAAGTCTTTGATCTATTTTCAGCCTATGAATTGTTCTTGTGGAATCTCAACTTATTCTGGAAAGTTCATGTATGTGCTTGTTGCATGACCAGTTTGACTGTAGACTAATTCTTGTTATGCAGCAGATAAGGTATCTGTCCATAGCATGTGTAAAGTATGAGAGAGCCTTCTAGGACAGCAAAATCAAGTACTGTTCGGCAGGGTACACTGCCTACTTCCAGATCTTTTTCTGCAGGGCGACCAAGTGGATCACCTCCTGTGTTAAAAGCGCAGCTGAAGACATGATAAACAGAAAATACATATTATTTTCTCCCCCAAAGGATTCCAAGAATACCCAGTTCCTCCTGGTTTTCTCAGCAGCACTTACATTTCAAGAGACGAGCACTATTTCTCTATTTTTTATTGTTATTTATAGTACTGCCCCCGTCCCTCCCTCCCCCCTTTTTTTGGCCACTGGATTCGAGGCAAACTCAAATTTCACTAGAAGTTGCAAATCAATTCAGGTATCTATCACTACAGTCTTCCTGAGACGTCTCTCACGTTGAGGAGCACAATGACCATCCTCCACTTTCAAAGACAAAAACAAACAAACAAAAATCCTCGAAATACACTAAATTGCTGACAGAGTCACCGAGGAAATTCTCGGAGTGCGGGGCCCTTTTCTCAGGCATCATCATGGCTCTGCTGCCCGCGGGAGGCTCGGCAACGCCGGCGGGCCGAGCACCGGGCACGGCCCGGGAAAAAACGGGGGCGCCCCCGACCTACTCCAGCGCGGGGGTCAGACCGAGAGGGCTCGCAGCCGTCGCGGCAGCCGCAACCCCGGTCCCGGTCCCGGTCCCGGTCCCAGGCCGAGGCCGAGAGCTCAGCTGTTACCAGCACAGCCCCCAGGGAGCCTCACGGCGCCGCTACCGGAACGGCCCCGAGGCGCGGGGGGCGCCGCCCGCCGGCAAACGTCGCAACGGGCCGCGGCCCCGCCCCCCCGCACTCCCTCCCCCGGCAGGAAGCGGAAGGGCCTCCCCGGGCCGCCGGGTGACCGGGATGCGGAAGCCCTTCCCGGGGGAGCGGCGTTTCCGGCGCTGGCTGGGCCGCGGAAGCCGCGTCGGCCGCACCGAGCGCTGCAGCCGGGGCCGGGGCCCGCTATGCGAGAGACGCCGAGGCCCGCAGGTGAGCAGCTGCCCGGGCGCGGAGCGTGGGAAGCCGCGCCGCTGCCGGGCCTGGCTCCGTTGGCCCGCTCTGGGGCCGGGGGGCGGCCGAGGCCTGCGCTCCGCCGCCGTCCCCGCTCCCTTTCCCCGCCGAAAGCTTCCGCGGCCCTTCCCCGCCGGGCGGCGCTCCCCGGAGGACCTCCGAGCCGCGGGAGGCGGTCGGGAGGCGGGTGCTGGGCACTGCCCGGCCCGGCCCCTTCTCTTTCCTAGGCACAGCCGACTGGCGGGTGGGCCGCCGGCTGTGGCCGTAACGCGTCTGGCGTGGGCTCGCCGGCACGTCTGCCCCTGCTGATACGGCAGCGTTTTGAGGTGCTGTTGTGGCAGAAGTAATAAATTAATTTACTCAGAGCTGTCTTTCTTCTGAAATAGCTATGTACTGGCAGTTGTTAAAGTAACTAGTTATAAGGAATTAATATGGCCCTGGTATGTTTTAGTGTTCTGGAGGGACTAGACATGTGCTATTAACTGCAATTAAAATACTTTTTTTTTTTTTGTGAGCAGAGATAAAGAGAATGCAGTAACTGAATGGGTTGTAAAAGGGGGAGTTGAAACCTCTTTGGAGGGAAAGGCCAAAAACATTCTTTAAGGGTATGGCCTCAGTAGCAGAAAATATTTTACTTACACTTTGAAAAGAAAGTTTGCTCCCACCTGCAGTTGTGTATGTGAACAACCATACAATGCTGAAAGATGATAGCTTAGGGTTCTTCCTGATTTTTAAACAGAAATTTTTCTAGGTGTATAGGTATTTCTCCTTTTAAGTTTTGGTTGAGCATATCCCAAAAGCTTATCCAGTTTTTGGTATGTGAGTATTGAAAAGCAGACTCTTAAATCTGAGAATGTTATGAAAGAGCTAACGTGTCTGCATTTAAAAAAAAAAAGGTTTTTTTTAAAAAATAAATATTTTTTAATGTTTACTGTGTATCAAATATTGACATAATTTTTCTTTCCACTTTACCAAAAAGAACTTGATATTAACAGTTGAACTGACAGCATAATTTGCAAGTTTTATGCTATTTCTTCACTTAGTACAACTTGGTGACTGTCTCAGCAGGATGTAACTGACCACCCCTGATTTAAATGAGGCAGTGGTTGTAGGAAAGTAGCTCTCTAAACTAATTTCTTGCCTTAAAGCTGAGGATCTCAAGGTAGTTGGTAAACACCTCTTAAGTTGAACAATTGTTTCAACCAACAAATAATCTATGAAGATGTGAGTGTGATTGTATACAGATAGTTACAGTGCTCAGTTACAGAATTTTAGTCACTTAGTTATTTTTAGTCATTTGTCTGCCCTTCTCCTTAGTGGGAGCTTTTTTTTTATTTTTTTCAATCCTTTCAGTTCCTCCCACTATCCAGTGGGGAGGGATTACTGTAAGGTTTCAAGAAAGGACATTGTGGTCAAAAAAGTACCTTTTTTATTTTGACTATTTTGCTGTGATTACTTAAGGTTATAAATGGGTTTCGTAAATGAAGAAAGCAGACCAGGAAGAATGACCTATTACAGACATACATAGGAAAGTCACACTGATGCCATATTTCTAATAATACAACAAAAAAAAAAGCATGATATTCACCATTCTGTAGAGGATGCTCATTTCAGAATTTGCAAGGAGTTTGGGCCTGTATCTCTTGAAAGGTATTGATGGTTGTCTGACTCTAATGCTCTCTTTTCTATGGCAACCGTGTTCACCTTGATCTAAGATAACAGCGAATGACTGGTTTTAACCTCCGTATGTTGTCATCCTTTTCTATCTTTGAAACTTTAAAGAAGGAATACTGAGGCTTAGGGGGAATAGGATAAAGGTGTCAACTATATGAGCTGGAAAAGATCTGAATGGTCAGGAAAGGATTATGTAATGATGAGCTATTGACTAAATATTGTTTTACATAATACATAATTCCTGTGTAGTCAGTGTTTTGTAAGCACATGCTGTTGTTTTTTCTGCACTTCGCAGTCATAAATTTATGCCAATATATCAGCATATGAACGCAGTGCATCTAATGAGCAGTTTTCTGTAGGTGGTTATATAACTGCATAGAAAGTACTAAAGAGAGTCTGTACAGTAACCATAGAGGTGATTCATAATCGTATCTTCTAAATTCCTTATTTTCATTACACATGAATATCAGAGTACAATTTGCAATGCAAATTCTGTTTCAATGTTATATTCAGAAAGTGTCTTAAATCCTGTATGTGTGCTATCTGCTAATTTACTAAGTATTCTTTCTCAGGTGTGCAGCTCCATCTGTTAAGTAGCAAAGTGAGAGTTTTATGAGAAACAACTTGACAGAGGAAAACCACTTGCTACTCCACAGCTCTGTTGGAGTTCCATTATGTTCAATTTACGCATTGAAAAGTTGCACAAATTTAGTTTATTCAGGCTGTTAATGTTGGTCTTTCATTTTTACATTTAATTTTCTGTTATTCCTGATAATAACATGCAAATGCATCTTAAATTCAAATTTCAAATGTAAAGCAGACATTTTAAAGAATTCTAGCACAAAGTTGACATAGTTATTTAAACAGTAATAAGATGTCTGGGTTATGTGGGAATGCAAAAAAATACCTGAACTGTTAGCTGAGCTTCTAGTGTATGATTGTTGCATTGTTACATATATACAAGGTGCATACAGTCAAAACTGTACAGCTGAGGTACAGTCGGTCTTTAATGGGGAGATCAATTAGATGATGTTGCCTGTTGAAATGCAGTATTTTTCATATGCGGTTTTAAACATGAACATTCTGGAGTTAATTCTGTTGCTATAATTTCATGAAATACCTGTTCTTGTTATCCTAAATCCATGCTTGACATGATTAACCTATGTCTACTGGGTGAATCTGTAGCTCCTGCTATAGTTGATGAGCCCTTTGGGATGGAAGAACAGCAAAACATGCTGGCATAGCAACGTGTGGCCTCAGTATTTCTTTGAGAAAAGAGAAGGATGAGGTGGAGGGGAACAATAGAAATAAAGCAGTGACATAGGTTCCAGAAAATGTTGGACTGAGTTCCATATAAGTCCACTTAAGTTATTGCTTTCAATTTCCTTATACACCTTTTTAGAAAGATCAATACTTTAATAAGCAGAATTTCTGATCTTTTTTTTTTTTTCTTTCAGCACAACACTAAATTTGTGATGAAATGGAGTCTGGGTCAAGCTCTTTTCGAGTGGAATTTCCAGATTTTTCTAGCACCATTTTGCAGAAGTTAAATCAGCAGCGCCAGCAAGGACAATTATGTGATGTGTCCATTGTAGTTCAGGGCCATCTCTTCAGAGCCCATAAAGCTGTTCTTGCAGCTAGTTCACCTTACTTTTGTGATCAGGTTCTCCTAAAAAATAGCAGGCGAATAGTGCTGCCTGATGTGATGAATCCAAGAGTATTTGAAAACATTCTTCTGTCTACCTATACAGGTCGACTGGTAATGCCTGCTCCAGAAATTGTTAGTTACTTGACAGCAGCAAGTTTCCTTCAGATGTGGCATGTAGTGGATAAATGCACTGAAGTGCTAGAGGGCAATCCAACAGTTCTCTGTCAGAAGATGAATCATGGCAGTGACCATCAGTCCCCAAGCAGTAGTAGTTACAATGGCCTTACTGAGAGCTTTGAGCTTGGCTCTGGAGGACAGACAGAATTCCACAAAGTGCAGGAACTGAGGGATGGTGAAAATGAAGAAGAGAGCTCTAAAGATGAACTGTCGTGTCAGCTGACAGAACATGAGTACCTTCCCAGTAATTCTTCAACAGAACATGATAGACTTAGCACAGGAATGACAAGTCAGGATGGTGAAGAAGGAACTAGTGATAGTGCGGAGTATCAGTATACCAGACCAATGTATAGCAAACCCAGCATCATGTCTCACAAGCGATGGATCCATGTGAAACCAGAAAGATTTGAACAAGACTGTGAGGGTGTTGACAATCCTTATGATGAACACCAAGTTTCTGAATCCGTGAATGCCATTCAGGCAGATCATTCAATCCAGTCTTCAGGTGTTGAAGACTTTCATATAGCTGACAAAAAGATGGAAGCAGAATTTGATGAACAGGCAGATGAAAGTAATTATGATGAACAAGTTGATTTCTACGGCTCTTCTATGGAAGAATTTTCTGGTGAAAGGGCAGATGGAAATTTAAGTGCTCACAGACAGGATCTTATGATAGCAGCAGGCTATGGTGAAGGAATTGAAATGGCTGCAGGAATTAAAGAAGAAACATCCCTCACTGGATTCTCACATGCTGATAAGCTGTATCCTTGTCAGTGTGGTAAAAGCTTTACACACAAGAGTCAGAGAGATCGGCATATGAGTATGCACCTTGGTCTTCGACCTTATGGCTGTGGTGTCTGTGGTAAGAAATTCAAAATGAAACACCATCTTGTAGGCCATATGAAAATTCATACGGGCATAAAACCATATGAGTGTAACATCTGTGGGAAAAGATTTATGTGGCGGGACAGTTTTCACCGGCATGTGACCTCTTGTACCAAGTCATATCAAGCTTCTAAAGCTGAGCAGAGTACTACTGAGATGAACTAAGACATTAGTGCTTACATTTGTTTAGAAGAGTAATCAAAATAAACTAATTATGCAAATAGTGTCTGGTACTTGCTATTGTGAAATCTAATTTTTTTAAAAAAACAAATTTCAATAATTATGCTAGTATGAGCAGACCAAAGTTTTTATTTTCCACAATATTATTCTAGGTGTTCAGTGTGTGATGTAGAAATGGTTAATCACAAAGGTGGTTGCACAATGAGGTCAATAAGGTCTTTAAGATATTGATTATCATCACAGCAGTATTTAGAAGTCCTGTTGTTTTAATAAGTCTTCCAAATTCACAGTAAAACCCAGCCCTAAATTGACCCAAATTCTGCAAATATTTACACGAACCAGGAATTGAAGTAGCCTTACTGAAAAAGAGAATTACGTAGCCATACCAGGCTATGTGGGCTATCTGTTAATAAAACTCCTGTGATTCACATTTTAATTAAAAAATAAAAATGACCTCAAACTGGAGATTGCCAACATACTTAACATGCATCATTAATAGCCTGCATCATTAAATATCACTTATTGTTTTGCTTAATGAAAGGCTGTGTTAAGTGATTTGGCTTTCCTTTATCTGTCTTCCATTCTTTTTCCATCTTCAGTGAAACAAATGATTGTTTAATTTTGTACTAGTTTCTATTTAAAGAGTCTGCAAAGCACTTAAATATAGTTGTGCACCATGTAAACTTAAATCTGTGTTAAATATAATTTAGTTGCCTCCCATAGGGCCTAGTGCTGTATGATGCTTGGCTTGATTTTGGTTGCTACGTAATGAGAGCTTTTAAAGCGTGTGTAATAAATATGCCTTGTCAAAACAAACAAAAATAGGTGTAACATTTGGAACTCTCCCTGCATACTCAAAATTCTAAACCCTAGCTTTATATTCAGATTTTTTGTCTTAACTACAGTAGCAAGTACCAAACTGCATAGCTTCATGAACTGAATTTTTTTTATTGGTACAAAATCTTGTTTGAGAACTTCTATCTAGTTTTAGAACATGCTTTAGGAAAATGATTTAGACATTGATAGGTGTTTTTACTCTTAATTCTTTACTCTTTGAATAGTAAGAACTATAATACAGATTCTTGGTACAGAACTACTGTGACTGGTTACATGTGATCATAAGCAGCCAGAGCTGTTTACCTCTTCAAATGAAGTTGCTTGTGGGGAAAAATGTAGAAAGTATGGCATTTGGATCTATTAATGGTACTGCAAAACATGGTACCATGCTCATGTCCGAAGTCTGGATTTTCGCTGGGAAAGTGGCACCTCTCATTCATTAGGATGAGGATTTATATCCTGTGCTCTCATTCCTGGAGCTATATAGAGGAGTTTTCGTAGTTTTGAGAGATGCTGCCAGCTCTGCAGGTAGAGTGAATGCATCAATTTTAAATGTGACAGGATTTGGGGTTTGAAAGCTTAGTGCATTTCTATGCAAAAGCAATTAACCCTTCTCTGTAGTTTACTGAAATATAAAAAGGAAAGAGCCTTTAGAGTATACGTAGGCTATAATAGGAAGGAGTGATGTCCAAGTACAGTGCTGGGGGAAATAAATTAACCAGCATCAAAAGCCTTCTAAGTCTGTCTGGCCCCGGTTTATGTATTAGATACTGCAATAGGCAGGATCATGTACTTAAACAGATGACCCTGTAGCAAAAGCACACTAAGGTAATTCCAATTTGGATTCTTTATTGAACTCCCAATTACAAATTGTCTTAAGATACAATCAAACTGTATCCTGAACGTGAATATCTAGTGCAAGCTGGGGTTTATTACTCAGTGGGCTATAATTACTGTAACTTCTTTTCTGGCATTCTACTTACAAACTTTAATTGTTTAAGAGGCTCTTAATTCTTAATCTTCTAATGCTTCAGATATTTTTTCATATGGAATTTTGTTAAAACAGATATTCCCAAATATGATGAAACCATTGCTGGCAATGGGCATGAATGGTCAGCACCAAGGAGTTCATATTTTTAGCACTTGATTGAGCTCTATAACATACCATGGTGACCATATATATAACCCTTGTACTCAAGGTAACAAAACAGGGATTTGCTCACTAACACTGTAACCTGCTTAATGTATAGAAGCACTTTGTATTTAAGAAAAAAAAAAAAAACTTTATAAGTATCTTTTTTAAACTTAGAAACTATATTCCCTTTATGGTTTGTTTCCACACTGCTAACACTGTCTTTTTTAATATTAAGAAAATTACAATGCTTGCCTGTTTACATGAGTGTAGAGGAAAAAATTCTTCCACTCACTGGCCCTATTTGTCCATTCTCCAAGGCCTTATTACATACAGGGTGTCATTTCTTCAAGTACTATCATCACATTTGAGGAAGGTATTCTCATACTCATTTTATGAATGATCTTGTATATTACATTGGTTCTCAGACCCTTTCAAATTGTCACTTTAGTATTGCATAAAAAGGTTAAGGGTGCCTCTTCCCATTTAACCATTAAAAAGGCTGTTATGAAGCACCAGGCTGTGAAACATGGTCAAGCAAAAAATCCTATCTGTTAAACCTGGACCATCCTACAGAGCTGCCAGCAAAACCGTTACTTTTACCGGCTTGGAATGACTTTTATACATGACATTTCAAAATTGAAAGTTGCTCCTTTTTGCAGTTAGATTACTTTGAAATAATGCTTTAAAATAAAATGTACTGAGAGAGACACTTTAAAGGTTTTATAACAGGTCCAGTAGATCATATTATAGAACCATATTCCTTTTAGTGATTTAGCATGAATAGTAACTTTTAAATGTTTGCCTGTTACTGTTTTACCCCATATTATGACATCAGCTTGGAATTCCAGCAATTGTTGCTACACTGATTTTTGTAACACTTGGCCTTCTGATGTTGATTTACATGAAACCAACTTATTGAAGAGAAGTACTGATTTATTATGAGATCTAATTGAGAGGATTGAGGATTTAAGTGAAACTTGAGTTATTTTTCAAAAAACAAAAACAAAAAAAAACCACAATACTTTCTTTTGCTTATCACAGGCAAAACAGTTGACTTGTAATGTTTTTACTGAATTTAATTTATTGCTTTTCAACAGACTTCTAATCGATTCAGTTATTGAGAAAAAGAAAAAAATTAAACACTTAAAGAAATGCCTTTCCCCCTTCCTCCTACTTAGCTTCTCTCGAATACCTCTTCTCCCCACAGCTTCCTAGTCTTTCTCTTGTCACTGGGAGTTGCACTAGGTCAGTCTGTTCCAATTCTCTTGCTGAGGTGACAGTTTGCCCAGGAGTTTGGGGTCATATACATACTGGCTTGTCTGGCTCTTTTCATTTCTTAGTGAATGTTCTCTGCTGCACTGGGCTTGTCAGTGTCACTGCCCCTGGCATGGTTCCTGCACAGACTGTAGCCTCTTCTGGGATGTGCCTGTTCCAGCTTGGGTCTCCCCCAGTTGTCAGTTTCTTCAGTGGTGTACCTGCTCTGGCCTAGGCCAAAGTCTTTCAGAAGTTCAGAAGTTTATCTCCTCTGGCATGGAGCATGTCCTTCTGAGAGTGGGTCACAATACACGTTCTCAGCATCTCCTCTGTGTGTGTTTCCAAGAGTATCTCCTCAGTTTCTCCTCATGTGTTTTCAGTTGTGTTTCCCCAGGAGTGTTTCCTTCTTCCATGTCTCCCCACACCTCTTGATAGAAGCTGCCACTCTTTCTTAGATTTCAGCAAAAGTGGTCCAATGATTGAAGTTTTGGCATGTAATGGGTTGTTTACATCAGTTTCAGTGCTGGCTAGAATCTGTTTTGATGGACGCAGGGCAGTTTGTGACTCTTGCTGTGTGTGTGTCACCCTTGCAGCCCACTGCCACTGAAACCCTGCAATTTACACCCAATACAGCTGTAGACAGTAAACAGAAATGCAGATGCAGCTTCTGCCAAATGCTTAATCATTGCTTGTGGGGTGGATTTGTTCAAGGCAGGAGATGGTTTCTTGTCTATGGGGAGGAGGGAAGCAATCAATGTGTAATATGAATGCATATATATATGGTGAATTTCATTCATTTTCCATTAAGATTCATCACCTTAATGATACCACTTTTGTGCATTTTTATGTTGCTCATGTCTTCTGTTGACTGTAGTAAAGTGAGTATCTTCTGAAAACCAGAATCATTGTATGCACAGGAGACTATTGATATTTTCGGTTACTGTGAAGCCATTCGTTATCCTATTGGTGGTAAGAACATTTACTGATAATTCAGTTCATTTTCATTCCATTCCATAACAAAGACGTTGATTACCATGAAATCTATGGCTTAAGATGTCAGGTTAGGTGTATATCTGACATCTTTCTGAGGGAGAAGGTTCTGTTGTGGTTTTGTTGTTGTTCTTTTAAACATTACCTTCACTGTTGCATGCAGCAACTGCCTTGTTTTATAAGTGAGCAGGTAGGTTCTAAAGGAAGCTGTTGGTAAAATATTTGGTCTTAGCTTTTTTTTTAAATCTGAGATACTTTTGCAGTTAAGAAACTGTCCCGTATCGAAAGCAAGGAGGGTTATCACAGATTGATATATTGGATTTCTTATTAAAAAGTGAGTATTTGACATCTCTGTGCTATTGAATCTGAAAGAATGGAGGCACTTCAGATCTTGTAATTTCACCACTTTTGCGCTGATGCTAGTGAGGTGTCCTGTTTCTGCATTCTGAGAACCTATAGCAGTATATTAAGTATTTTGGTTTAATAGAACCTTTCTCAAAACAACAAATGAAAATGTTTTTTTTGTGTGTATGTGTGTGTTTTGTTTTGTCATTTAAATGCTTAATTAGGTAGCTAGAGTTATTTAGCTATAAGCTGTAAACTGTCAGTGCCCTAGGGGAAGATGCTGGAAAACAAAATGTTATATTTTAATGTGATTAAACTGTAAATTCTAATTTTGCTTGAGGCCTGTGTCTGTCGATTGCTGCTCCTTTTTTGTTATTCATGGGATTCCATATTTCTTCCAGAAATGTAACTGTTTATGCAAGTCAAGTGAATCTTCCTTAATGAGCTATAAGTTTTTATTCAAAACAAGTCATTTATAATAGTAAAACTGCATATCTTGATATTTTGTGAAATGTTATGCTTGTATTGCAGAGGTTGGATAGTTTTGTCTATAAATATTGCTGTCTTAATTGTACAGCATGGTTTTAATTTAATTTTACTGTTCAATATTTTCTTCTTATAGAAGAGTCCCATGCCCCTTTTTTGTATAACATGTTTTAATAAATGTTACCTGTCAACTTTGTAAATGTTTTCTTAAGCTTGAATGAAAGGAATGCATGTCTAGTACCAGTATTTAATATTTCACTTTTGCCAAAATAAGTGCTCAAACAAAACTTCAAATCCAAAAGTTGTTGATATATTATATAACTTTATTAAATATATAAATAAATTTTTTTCTAGTAATGTGTCTTCTTGAAATACTGAGAACATGCCAGCCTAGCCTAAGAAAACACTAAACTAAGACCTAATATTTAAAATACAAGTAGATGATGAATACAGGGAGTTGGTCCTGTTTCTTTGGTGCTTAGGTAATTAGTTGCCATGTGAGTCCAATTTATCAAACAGGTTTTCTTATAGCTGTGGTTTGTTGTTTCTTTTTGCAAAACAGTGATTCCTTAAGTTATAATACAATATGTACAGGCCAATATGAAAATTTTGGAACACACAGTACCAGCAACTGCAAAAACCCTACAAGTAAACTAGAAGTATCAACAGATAATGTGTCAGTCTTTTCTTGTCAAAGTATCAAAGAAATTTCACGCTGTGAAAAATGCATTAAAGATTGAATTTATCTTCCTGTGAGGATTCCTCCTCTACCTGTCTAAATATGATTATTCTAACTGAATAACTTGCTTTGCCCATCCTCCATCTATTAATTCCTCACGGAACTGTCAAAGCTGATGCTTCTTACTCACCAACATAACGCTTGTAATCTAAACAACAGATGAATTCACTTTCTTGTAAAACATTGAGCTGATTCCTGGAGAACTCACTGTTTGTATACCACAGTCCTTCATCTTCAGCAGTTTTAAATGGAATATGACACAAGCAAATTCACTTACTATTGCATACACATAAGAAGCTGCAAGTATTCCATCTGTTCAGAGTTAGATCGTTTGATTTTCTTTAAGTGTATCTGTTAGTTAACTGCTATTTAAGCACTGGTCCAGATACTTAGGGTACCTTATCCTATTACCATTCAGCACCTAATTTCTGAAGACTGCCTTCCCCATCTTTTTATAGGGAGAGAAAGACACATCTTGAGGATAAAATGCAATGTCTGATGTTACATAATGTGGATATTGTAGCAGTAGCTACTAGCTTCAGCCCTTCTGTCTTTTAAAAAGTGGTGCAGTTCAACAGTGTATCGTTGCCCTACATATGCTGCAAGCATGTGCAGGATAGGCTCTGAAAACATCTGTATGCTCTCTAAAGCAATTCGTGTAAATTAAGAGGGTGGTGTAACACAGGTGACCTTAATTCCTAATTTACTGTGCACTGTAAGGGCGGTAGTTCGCAGCTGGGAGGGAGCTCCTCTCCCAGAAGCTTGCCTTCAGCCAGGTGCAGGTAGAACGGCCGTGTCATCTGCAATGCGCCCGGCACCCAGTGTTTACAAGAAAAAGGGGAGAGGGGAAGAGGAGGAAGAAAAGTTGGTCTCTAAATATGTCGGACCATACGTTTCCGGAAATTACTACGTGTGCCGTAACGCTGAGCTGTTCGTGGGAATCTGTCTTGTTTTCTCTTCCACGTTCCTCGCTCCTGCTACGTCTCGGAACGCGTGCTCCGAGGCAGGATTTCGGAGGCCCGTTCCCGCTGCTGTCCGCAGGTTGCAGCTGCAGCTTAAACTCCTTCATTTCCTCGTGCGGCAGCTTTACGGCGAGGGAGACGCCGAGGTCCGCGGGCGCGCCGCGGCGCCGGGCCCAGCAGCGCAGGGAGGCGCCGAGACGGGGCCCGGCCCCGCCCCACCCGCGCCCCCCGGCGGCCTCGGGAGGGCTCCGCGCCCGCTGCCGGCGCGCGTCACCAGGAAGCGGAAGCGCCGCCAGCGGAATCGTTTCCGGGTGCGAAGAGCTGCGGGAGCGGGCGGGAAGCGGCGGTGGGAGCGGGCAGGGGACGGGCCGGGCACCCGCCATGCGAGACACCCCGACAGTCCCAGGTGAGCCGCGGGCGGGCCGGCCGCCGCAGGGGGGCGTCGGGCCGGGTCGGGGCGGCTCGGCGTAGGGGGTCCCGGCGCCCTGACAGGCCCCGCAGGGGCGGCGGCCCGGCGGGGCGGGCGGCCCTGGCGCCGCGAGGGGCTCGGCTCGGGCCTCGGCTCGGGCATGTGCCGCGGGAACCGTCTCGGCCCTGCGGCCGCGCGGCTCCCGGGCGCGAGCCGAGGCGAGCCGAACCCAGCGGCGAGCCGCCCGGGAGCCGCGGCGACGTCTTTGCTGCTGGCGCGGCCGATCCCGGCTCCGTCGGGGTCGCTCCGCTTTCAGCCTGGTCTCGCCGACAGCTGCCCTCGCGTACCGTGAGTCTGTGGCTCTGGCGTGAGTTTGGTTTGCGAGCGGAGAGGCAGGACGCGCGTGTCTTAGCCTTTCGTTAGTGTGAAGGTGGTAGGGTGCAACTGGCGCGGTCGGCTTGGCTGGCTGAAGTGCTTTGAGGCCCCAGTACGTTTCAGTGTTGTCCCCAGAAGTTGGTGGACCTTTCAGTTGTTGCTGTTCTGTTTGAGGAACTGGAAGTTCTAGATAAGACTTAGTCTTCGTGAAGGCCCTTCAAATGCTGTGCAGGTGCACAGGGCATACGCAATTAGTTTTATTTAAAAATAAGTCAGTGGTGAAGGTACACTTGGAATAAATCTGAACTGCCTCATAAAAGCTGATGTGGGAGTTCCCAGTCACCGGCGGGAAAAAAATGGAAGTGGTTTAGGTATGTACATGTTATGGAATTATTATGATAATACATAATTTCTTATTATAATAGCAGAATGAAAGCTTGCTCTCCCCTCCCACTTATTAAAGGCCTTGCTATGTTCTCAGTTGTTTCCCTGATGAGTGACTTCTCTAAACACGTATCTCAAAGTTGTCAGAAATTTAGGAAATAAAATATGTGGGGTATAAATATTCAGGATTAAATAAACAGTACTTTGATGCTTGCATATTATGAAGTTGGTGCACAGAAGAAAACTGACCACTACTTGTAAGGTCTAACAACTTTAAAGCATATGTGTCATAAATGTGCCTTTATTTCACTTAATTGACGCAATACTTCTGCTGATCTTGGCTATCTGTGTTTTGCCTTCTAACCTGAGAAATTAGAAAGCCTTCATCAAATTTCTTGTACACATATGTATGAAAACTTTAACCTTCTTGAATAAGTGGCTCAAACAGATTAACAGAAGACCTAGTTATAGACAGGTGCCCAGAGGTGGACTCTAAATTTATAGCACGTTAACCTAACATGGAACTATCCAACAACAGGGTTTGAAAACCTAAAGCAAGACAAAATGCATTACTTCGTAACAATGAGGTTCCCTAACATTACTGTGAGTTGTCTTGGCTCTCACCAGTCCCCCAAATGCTAAGGCTTGTGTAATACACATTTTCATTCTGTAGTGGTCTGGTGTAGTGGATTGACTCCGTATGTGCTGAAATGTCATGGAAGGTATTGGGCATAACTTCTGACTACTTATTAATTTTTATTCTTCTCTGCTAATTCTCTAAATATTTGTTATGTGAGTTAAAGTTGTTAATGTCCCGTTGTTTTAAGAAGCAAAGACTGGGTGGTTAAGTGTAGAGAGAATGTTTGTGATTTATTTTTCAGCTTTTGTTTTTATTTATAGCTTGTCGTGGATGTGTCCATAGCTAATTTGCCTCTTAGAGTACTTTTCTGCTTCAGTTTAATGTGAATTTCCTCACCTTAAAACAAAAGAGATTAGTAAGACGCTTCAACTTGGAAGAAATTGAGGATTTCTTCTTTGCCAGGCTCATCAGAAATACTTCAAGCATAAATCACATTGTCTTGAGAGAGCTACTGGCTTGCCAGTATTGGTGAATAATCAAGTACTATTATGGTACAGTACCCTGCTGAACAGTAATCTGCTTAACTCTACTGGAATTGGATTCTGGATCTGCAAGCTTTATTCTGCATGCAAACATAATAAAACCTTTTTGTGTGGGGGGAGTATATTTCAAACATGATTTTATAGATAATAATATTGGAGATTTATATGAATAACTAAGACCATTTTTCCTCTAATCATTATTCATCAGTAAAACATTGCCAGTGGTGCCTGCATCTATGACTTGTAATACCCAGATTTTTCCTCAGGTCTTATCTCCCCAAATCTGTGCAGGAAAGTTGGTGTGCCCTGGTACTAACCCTAGCAAAATTACTACAGTCCTGTTACGGTCCTGCTACTCGCTAACATAGTGTTCATTTTCAAATTCCTTCATCTAGAAATGTTTGAGAGTTTTGCCAAAAGTAAAACAAGGGTTCCCTTCTGTCAGAGGCTGCTGCTGTGTAAAATTCATGTTACTTTACACTTTCTACATAAGTTTTCAGGATCCCAGGAAGTATGTGTTTTCAGAGGAAGAAACTGACATTGCAACAAGAGCGTGCTGTAGATTCTTTGTTTTTAAGAACAGCGGGATGTCTGCTGCTTTTTGGGCTATACTTGATGTTCGCTTCCAAAGCGATACTGTATATTCCTATGTTTACTACACTGACAAGCAACTTCACGAACCTTTAAATCCATCATCCTTTCCCTTCCCTACCAGGATTTGTGCTGTTTATTCTTCTGAAAATGGTAATAGTAAAATTCTGTTTCCTAAGAGGAAGTTGAAATGGTTCTCAGAACAGGCTGTAGAATTGGTTATAGATATACATGCCCATGGATTTGGGAAGGAGTCCTTGGGGGGTCCCTTCCAACTTGGGAGATTCTATGATTCCATGGAGAGAGTTAGAATTTCTAACAGTTATGATGTGCAAGTACTGCCGAGTATCCCTTTTCTCTCAGGGACCCCGTCTTCCTGTCTCATGTTTTCCCTAGTATGTGTTTACTGTACCTTTGCAATGTGTGGCCATCTCCTAGGGGGTTTGAATTCATCTGGACATGCCAAGATGCTTTGATCAAAAGAATTAAATTGTGGGCTTGTTTTTTTTCCACAGTAAGACATAAAATGCCCATCATCTTTCTACTTAAGGGCTCCTATCCCTAGCCCGTACCTTCTGTCTGTACTAGTGCTTGTGGTGACTGTTGTTTTCCATTTCACTGCATAAAGAGCCCTTAGAGGAGTACAGGGCAAGGAGAAAAGGCCACTGGCTAAATATGACAAACTGTCTCTGTACATTCTAGACATGAAAAGAGGAATAACTTGTGATGGAATTTGGGTAAGGCTTGATCAGGATCTGGTTCCTGAGATCAGAGATCTGTAAAGATGTAGGAATGACAACTTATCACTGCTGGGGACTGGTCTTACAGTTTGTACATAGCCCTCAAAACCCTTCAAATAAGCAAAGAAAAGTCAGGAATGTTGCACCTGTGTATAGTGCATAAATCCCACAAATCAAAGGTAGTGACCTGTGTGGGGTTAGTAAAGAAACCTCATGCCCTGTCAAACAAAAGTTATGTTGACAAATATGTATCCTTATTGCCGAGAATGCAGTCTTCCCAATGGAGTGGATGCAAGCTAGGAACTTGGACAGTGGTTCTCTGTGCAGCATAGGGGGATGCTTAGAATACCAAGGTTAATCTTCCAGTTTAATTGCTCCGTCGTTCCCTTGAGGTTTGTTTGTTACGTTTGATTTCTGGTTTATGCTTGACTTGTTTCAGCTCACAAGCACTGAATCATTCTGTAGCTTTATTTGCTGACTGAAAGAACTGTCCTGCCAAAGCTATCTTTGTATGTATGGCTCTGATCATATCAATTTTGTTAACCATTTTAATCTTTATTTCCATCATCAGTCAAGTGAAGTACAATTTACTGAAGTTTTCTCGGTAATGCTAGTAGAGTCAGGAAGCTGGCTGTCTTGTTTCTCTGCTGAAAGGAACTTCCGTTTGTGAAGACAATGAACCTTAGTTTTAGGTGACAGCTCCAGTTCTTCCTTGTAAATCATTTGTCATATCCCTACCTGTTGATTTTGTTTTTTAGAGTGCCTAAATATTCATAATTTGATTTAAAACTGTTCATATGTCCTATTACAGCATGTAACATAAGACACAAATAGAAAAAACATCTGCTAGTATGTTGTGATACATTGGACATGCTTCCTGCATCAGAAGTCAATGGATGATGTTGAGATCTGTTTGTCCAATTGGAAAAGCAGGTACGATTGCTATATTATGACTTCTGCATTAATAAGAACAAGAATAACAATGAAAATATGAAGATTCTTGGGTACTTGATTACAGGCCTAGTCTTAGAAATATAAGATACAGTCTGCTACAGGTACCCTCGGGGGACAAGTGTGTATTTGCTTTTTATGATAATATAGGATTGTACCTTTCTTTAGATCTTATTTTGAAATGTATACATTTCTCTAAAGCTCTTGGAACATATTTTCACATTGTATCAAGAAAGTTTTAGTACTAATAGCTTTGGAGTTATGTTGAACTTAATTGGCAAATCATCTTAGTTAAGAAGTCAGTGCAATGTCAGATGAGCTTCAAAGCTGGGGTGGGTTAAGGGGGGGGACAGAAGGCAATAGATGAAAACCACAAAAAGAAACTCGAAAGAATTAAAGTCAGTGGTTGGCTCCCACACTTTTCCTTGAAGGAAATGCTACCTTGCATATTGACATGTTCATTGTTATCTCGAAACCTCTGGCACACTGGGTAAACAGTTCAGAATTGAGTCTACACTTTGATATTTCCTTCAATTAGGATTCCTTGTTTTTTGATGTAAATACTGAATGATTGATTTATTTCTTTAATAAGTATTGAGATTATTTTCTTAAATGGTAAACGTTTGTCTAAACAGAAATGCCATTGATGTCAAATTTATTTCAGAGTTGAATATACTACATATGTAGACCTAAAAAATAAATTTTAAAAATATTTTTTATGTTTGTGTTTGTATGCATATGCATACATGCACAGGCCTGTGGTTTTTCTTCATCACATTTTTCAAACTTCATGAAATACCTTTCAAAAATTATTCTTGGACAATTTAAACGTGCAGTTCCCTGCAAGTATCAGTGTAGTCTCTTAAGAACTTTTTTGACCTGCTTAATATTAGGATTCTGTTGGGAGGGTGAGGACTGCAAAGTTTCTTTTAGGTTAGACGTAGACTGTCCCAGGGACCCTGTGATGTGTTATAAGCAATTGAATTGTGAATGTTGCAGAGGGATAATTTGATAGCAATGCAAGAGATCAGTAGATCAAGACTCTACCTTTTCTTTTACATAAGTATTTATACCAACTGTTTTGTTGACGCTCACCTTAAACAGATCAATGTGGTAATTTAACTTCAACATGTGTAAGCATTTATTTTTGAAATGGAAAACTCTGTATTCATTCTCAGTTGTAAATCTTCTCACTTTTCTTTCAGATTCCATTTTACATCAGTAGAAATGGACAGCAGCAGTTTCATTCAGTTTGATGTGCCTGAGTACAGCAACACTGTTCTGAGCCAGTTAAACGAACTCCGCTTGCAAGGAAAGCTCTGTGACATAATTGTGCATATTCAGGGTCAGCCATTTCGAGCCCATAAAGCTGTCTTAGCTGCCAGTTCTCCATATTTCCGTGACCATTCAGCATTAAGCACCATGAGTGGCTTATCTATATCAGTTATTAAAAATCCTAATGTTTTTGAACAATTGCTTTCATTTTGTTACACTGGAAGGATGTCCTTACAACTGAAGGATGTTGTTAGTTTTCTAACTGCAGCTAGCTTTCTACAGATGCAGTGCGTCATTGATAAATGCACACAGATACTGGAGAGTATTCATTCAAAGATCAGTGTTGGTGATGTTGACTCTGTCACTGTTGGTGCTGAAGAAAATTCAGAAAATCGCAATGGAGTTAAAGATGGCAGCTATTTTGCCAACCCCATTGAAATATCTCCCCCCTACTGCTCTCAGGTGCGACAGTCAACAGCAAGCAGCGATCTTAGGATGGAAACTACTCCAGGCAAAACTCTGCGTAGTCGACTGCAAGAAGAAGGGCATTCAGATCGAGGAAGCAGCGGGAGTATTTCTGAATATGAGATTCAGATTGAAGGTGATCATGAGCAAGGAGACCTGATAGTAAGGGAGAGTCAGATTGCAGAGGTGAAAGTTAAAATGGAGAAGTCTGACAGGCCAAGTTGCTCTGATAGCTCTTCCCTTGGTGATGATGGATATCATACTGAAATGGTGGATGGAGAGCAAGTGGTAGCAGTAAACGTTGGCTCCTATGGGTCTGTCTTACAACACGTTTATTCATTTACCCATGCCTCATCACAGGCTGCAGGTGTGTCTGAAACTTTTGGAAGCCTGAGCAATTCAAGTCCCTCAAGGTCAATGCTGAGCTGTTTCAGAGGGGGTCGTGCACGCCAAAAACGGGTATCCGCTGGTCATTTACATAGTGATGTTCAGGGCTTGGTGCAAGGGGCTGACAGTGATTCTATGGTGAGTAACACAGGATATGAAAATAGTCCACGGGAAAGAAATACAAGAGGTCATTGGTACCCATACAATGAGAGGCTGATTTGTATTTACTGTGGGAAGTCTTTCAACCAGAAAGGGAGCCTCGATCGGCACATGCGATTGCACATGGGAATAACTCCTTTTGTGTGCAAATTTTGTGGAAAGAAATATACCCGCAAGGACCAACTTGAGTATCATATTCGCGGTCATACAGATGATAAGCCCTTTCGCTGTGAGGTCTGTGGAAAATGTTTTCCTTTCCAGGGTACACTAAACCAGCATTTGCGAAAGAATCACCCTGGAGTAACAGAAGTAAGAAACAGGGTAGAGTCTCCTGACAGAACAGAAGCTTTTGTGGAACAGAAAATAGATAATGATGCTTCGGTTTCTGAAGCTATGGATTCTAGTATGGAAATTCATGCAATGTCTAGCACATCTGATTAAAATATTACATTCTAAGTGCAACACAAACAAGCACATTAATAATGTATTTTTTAAATCTTTTATTCTTTTAGTAATCTTCATTACAAGTATAACAGCCTTTTAATTTTCCTGATCTTCTGGATATCAGTGTGAAATGGTTTCTGGAAAAGACTACAAAAGTATTATTTGCTTCTGTAGGAGGTTGGGCTGTTTTTTTGTTTGTTTGTTTTTCCACTTTTGAAGATGCTCAAAATATAAAAAACAGTGTGCTGGGGAATGGATGGGGAGAGTCTGCTAAGGTGTCCCTACTGGTTGATCTGGTAAGACACAAATTCCAATGGAGAAAGATATTAAAATAAGGTTGGCAGCTCTGCTGGATACACCTAGAAGCTGTCTCCCTTATTTTATTTCTTAAATCCTGTTGCTGATAAAGAGGGTTACACAGCAGTGGGGAGAGAATATTATATATTTGATTCCTTTCATGTGTTCCAATGAATTGTGCTTGTTTTTCCAACTGTTTTTGGTAGTTAGTCTGTTTATATATATAAATTTGCTTTATATATATATATGAAATGCTTTCACATTCACTTCAACCAGAATAGTGAAAGTAAAAGTATGTCAAGGTTTATACCACGTACCATTCTTTCAACTATTAGGTCTCCTCTCTGCCTAGGATTTAGGACTTCAGACTTTGGGAGGATGCTTTTGTTTTTGGATTGCTTTTCATCTTATTAAACTATTACTTTGTGTGTAAAAGTGAGCAAAGTGAATTACCTTGTTTTAATTGCTTTGCTTTATAACATTTGTAAACCAAATGCCATAAATCTATTAAATTATGGTTAAGTTGTTAAGGGGTTTTGTTAGTTGTCTAGAATGTAAACTGGACAACTTGTGGTGCTGACCTTTTTATATATATAGAGATAGATATATATCTATATATATATTAAAAAAAAAAAAAGGAAAACTAATAGCAAACCCAGAAGTAGCATTGTGGTTTTAAATGTGTTTTTACTGGCTTCAGAATCTACCTTCATTTCGTACTGTAGAAGTATACCAGGTAACTAAATTTAACTTTATCACTCTTCACGGTTGGTTGATACTAGCCTGAGAGGTATCTTGTAGTTTGAACTACAGTGTTTCAAAGCAGTGTTCTAACAGGTCTCTTCACAGAGAACTGTTTTCAGGTGCACATTGACTTCCTACTTACAGCTCCAAGTGATAGTGTCAGCACTTGGAATTTGTACTTTTTTGTATTAAAAAAAAAAAAAACAAAAAACAAAACACAAATACTCTATGGGAACTTCAAGCAATATGTCTGTTATTTCATGTGCAAGTATTACAGAGTTGCTGTGGCTTCCCTGTTATCTCCAGTGGTTGTTTTCTATATAAAGGAACTACCAACAACTTTAAAAATACTCTAAATATTGTTGTTTCACCAAATGTTTTTTTTTACTATGGTGCTAACTTCATCATTTAGGTCAGTATAATATATTAAAATGTGAAACCTAATGGTAACAGTTAAGCAAAATAGAAAAAATAAATTTAAAAAAAAAAAAAAAAAAAAAAAAAAAAACAAGCAAATAGTTTCAGACCTCAAAAACATGAGCTGGCAAACACTACTGTGTAAATTCTACCTGATAAGCAAAATTAAATTAAATCACATGCATCTTTAAAATACATGCTTTATATAATTGGGCCTTATGCTTTATTTAGCAAATATTGAAAATCCATCTGTGAACATGTTGTCTGAGTCCTGGAATTTAGAAAATATAGTCTCATTTTTAAGTTACAGGAAAGCAAAAAGATAGGTTTGCTATCTTGTAATGCTTTTTGGGCTCCTGTGAAGTTGGGGCATATTTGTGTAGTAGCTTTATTGAATACACTAGTTCTTAATATTGTGACAGTCTGCAATAAGATTTTTATTAAATACCAACTTACAGTATAAACCCACCAGCTCCTCTGGAGCAGCTTCAGTTGAATTGAGTACATAATTTGCCTCTTTGTCCTAAAACTGCCTAAATAAAGAGGTGCAGGGAGGTGAGATGATGTTTCTCTCCTTGAACCTACAGAACTGTTATTTTCAGTAAGGGAAATTGTATGTCTGTTTCTATGGGAGGTAGTCTGTATGTTTACCCACTTAAAAACAGGTTGGTGTTTCTGATACTGTTTTTTCTCATGTTTGCTTTAAGTAATTAAGTTTTTAAAAAATGTGTTTTGACAAATTAAGTTTGAGACATGTAAAATCCAAGAAATGTACAGTTATTCTTAACCCTTTATCTTGGACCTGTGCTGTGGTGCCTTTGGTGTGACTTTTTTATGGAAGTGTGAGTTGAAGATAGCAGGATATGGGTACTAATTTTATATTTCTTGAATTTCTGTGTCACAATCTTAACATTATTTAAATCTTGTTCTTTGTATTTGTAAATTTATTGAACTGGTTTGAGTTTACCAAAGAGTGACTTATCCAAAATTGTCTCTGACAAAAGAAAAAAAAAAGAAAAATCACACAAAAACAACAACAAAAATTACTTTGATTGTACAGGTTCAGGTTCAGAACATTGTAACAGGACTGTTAAGGGGCAGGAAGTGATCACTTTTTCTACAAAACCATGATTCATCAGTTTGCAAGTTTTACTTGCTCCTATTCATGTTGATATGCCATTTACCTTTTCCACTGCTAGCAGTGTTAAGAATTATCAAGCCATAACACAGTACTGTAAAGTTCAGCAGTGCTTCAAAGGATACGTAAAACATCATTTACACTTTCAAAGTGTGTGACTCTGGTAGAAAGCGAACTTCAAACCTGGCAACAGCAAATAAATTGTGCCTTGTCGCATAGTGGTATGCCAGGTTTAACATTGTCATGACACATGAAGCATTATCTAACTGAAGTTCATTTCACAAGTCCACCAAAACAGAGTATGGTGTGTTATTTTAAGCAGATTATGGAAGTACTGTACAGCATCTTGTTTCTGTACAGTTTTAAGTTAGCACAGAATTGTTACACATTTCATTTACAATAAATGCAGAAGTCAATAAAATATGTGAAAAATATTTGACAGCAAAATAAATCATGAAATTATATAGGCTGGTTCATAATTGAGTCTCTTAATCTACCTTTTTATTATAGACAAATGTGAAAGCAGTGACAGTGTCCTTTTCTCTAGATGTTTAACCAATTATGACAAACTGTGAAAATAAAGGATTTTATATCTTTGCTAATGTTTGTGGTTTTAAACAGTTAGTTTACTTAATCAGTTATATTCCGTATTATTTTTAAACCTGTAAATACAATTAGAAAATAGCTTTGTAAATACAGTATATTAGCAGTTCAGTTTGGTCAATAATTCTTCAGGATTGGCTCTGCTTTTTTTAGTGTGAACTCTTTCAATAGCATAAAGGATACTGTCGATTTACTGTTCAGCAGAATATAATGTAGGCCTAAATTGATAGTTTTTAATGCAGTCTTCCCAAGCATAAATTAACATTTTATGCTGAAGCCTTTGGTTTACTCTTAGATAAAACAGTGAGGCCTCATAATATATTTAGTCTGAACTTTAGGAAGAACAGCAGGAATAAAATCAAGGGCTGGGAAAAGATTGAATGAGCTTTACCTTTAAAAATATCTTCTTTGACTTTTTGTATTAGTTGACTGTGATTCTTTTATTGACATTTTTCTAAACAGGTTTCAGATGAAACCATTGAAAGGGACTCAAATATGCAACACCTAATCTATTTTCCAAGGGAGTTTTACCCTTGAATGGTGCTTTTTGACTGGTCAGGGTTATTTATTAAATTTTATATTTGAAAGTATTTGGGGAATTGTGTAAATTCTTTATATGAATCTGTTTAGTTCATTAATTGTAAATTTCATAATACTCAGTGATTGAAACAGAAGTTTAGTAAAGTCATTCAAAATGTTCAAAGTTTATAATCTGTATTTTACATATCTTTTAACAAGTGCCAGAATAGTTGTATTTAATATTTTAGATTTAATGCTCCTTGCACATCCCTGTGGCAGCATTACGTTAGTTATGCAAGTTTACATTAAAAAACAAACAAACAAAAAAAAACAACCCTGGGACATGTTCCTGTATTTATTTCTTCAGGGGATGTGAAGCTAATTATCAGTAACTGAGCAGGTTTGCTTCTAGTTTACCTAAGTAACTCCTGCTATAGCAAATAAAACTAACTGCTGTCTCTCCAATTTACATATGCTATGAATGCAGCCTTTGGACTTGTATTGCAAGCCTCTGGTTGTATATCTGATTAGAGGTAGAGCTCTTGCACGATTTAAAGTGTGTGTTTCTGACTGAAAATTTGTATTTTTAAATAACTTTTATTTGTATGGTTGTTTATCATGATAAATATTTGAACAGTTTGAATGACTTGACGTGGTGTTATTATCTTGCAATATAAACCGGTAACCTCACAACTCCACACTTCATAACCATATGAAGTAAATGAAGCTAGCTAAGCTGATGCTGTAACAATTAACTTGCCATTAAGGATTATTTTGTAGCATGAATTTTAAAATATTTATTCAAATGATATTTTACTCTTGTATTCACTTTGTTTTTAGATTTGTGACATGAATATTTCAGTGCTGCTTTATTTTGTTCTGATGAATTTGTTTCTTGCTTGTAAATTGCTTTTTTTATGGTATAAAGTCAATGGGAATTGCTGTTTGTAAATTAAAATGCTTCTAGAGCAAACCTATGGTGTCAGTGTCTGCAATTAGATATTTAATTAGCAGTGGACTTCAGGAAAAGCAGCTACAAAACGTTGTGGTTTAATACTTATATACCTACTAGAAATCAAAAAGCATTTCTACTCTTTAAGTTTCTCTTTGTCACCAGCATCACGTTTAGTTCTGAACAAATGATCATTTCAGTATTGTGCTCCAAAATTGTCCAACTCTCAAAGCAGAACAAGAACAACAGGGGAAGAAAAATGAACTGGCAATCTGCCCAACACCAAGACAGAGGTAAGTCAGTTGGGCAGGGAGGTATATTTCATTTCCAGAGCAGCATTTTGTTATGCCGTATGTAACAGTAGAACTAATACTGTTCTCACCAAATGTAGGATACATATCCTAGTCCACAAGCTTGAATTTAACGTGAGTATCCAGCAAATGCTTAGCTATTTTAAGCTTGCAGGGCCCTAGCTTGTTTCATGGCAGCTGGCTCTTTAAGTGCCTTTGTGACAAGCAACTTCTAGGAGGAGTTAATGCATCCTAAACAAAGTGTATACTGTCACTGATTTGCTGAGATAGACTCATCCTCTATGGGACAAGTAGAATCTTGCAGAAAGGCAGATGATACTATTAAAGTTGGTTTAAATTTTACTAGTGTTGTTCACAACTTTTCATTGTGTTCGAGATGTATGCTAGCAAAGATTTTGTTCTATAATAAACCTGAATGAAATTTAAGCAAGTTTTAAACAATCTGGCAGCAAAGGATGTGTTTATATTGTCTTAATGCAGCTGAAGAATCTTGACTGGCTCTGAATTTTGGGGGGGATGTTTTTTTTAGTCTTATATGTTACAGACACACCCAGAATGAATAACTATTCTAATAAAAAAAAAAATGTATCTGTTCCATTACTGAAAACTCAAGTAATGTAGAGTAGGGTACACAAGACATGACTTCAGAATAGAAGAAATGTAGCATTGCTTTTATGTGAGGGAGGAGAGGAGAGAAACTGAACCTAACGTACTTACTAGCTTTAGTAAAGTCTTACACCCACTTTTTTTTTTTAAGATGGTGAGTTGTTTCATCTTGTCATCATAGGGAGTTAGAAATAAGTCATGGCAAAGCTGTGTCCACAGAACTTAATGCACCTAACTTATGGAAATGTGATTTTCAGTAAGAATGTGATGTATGTCTTTGCACAATCAGTAAAATACATGCATAATGTGTGCAACAGCATCTGGATAGCATGCCCTATAGCACACGTAATACTGTGAATTATAAAAGTAACAATGTAATAAGACCTTTAAATGGCTTTTTTACTTTTTTTTTTTTAATGTATTACTTTGAACAGCACCAAATAGTATCATTAGTGAAATGCAAATATGCTAGTATGGGTAGTGATAAGCTACTAGTCCTGATCATTTGTCTCTGAATGTAGTGGAGTTTGGTCAAGGGCATTAGAGAAAGGTGGTGCTTTTATGGAGGTTCATACCTGTAAGTCCACTGTGCAAACAGCTTTTTTTCTAGTTACATAAGAACTGTGTCTGTAGGAGCAAATAATGCTGAGTGGTCAAAAGAGAGCTCACTTTCTGCCAAACACCATTAAGTTCTGGCATTATGAGTAAAAATAGCATTGGGGAAGATCTTCCATTTAGAGTAACAGAAGACTTACGAGGACGGTATAGAGCTTTGAAACACCATATGCACTGCCATGGCACCATAAATCAGATGGCATAGGTCAGTTTTCTGTGTAAACTGGCTACAGACAAACCCTTATTTGTTAGCAACACACACAGATGTGGAAATAAGAGAAATTATCATGGTGTATCAGATGACTAAGATTTAAAACATCTGTAGGTTTAATTGAATGGTTCTGATAATTTGGGACTTTTAACGCTTGGGCATTATTCTCTCTCTGTTTTCTAGATAACCTTATGCTGTATTTTTGTCACATAGGATTTCACCTTCATCTAGTTTTATCTAGGGATACACCATTGACCTTGGGTACTTCAGATTTGTTTGAAGTTGCAAGCCATGACAATAATTACAGTGCCATAGTACAGTATGTATAGTTAAATTTCAACTTAACCTGCTCATTTAGAGTTTGCCCCTAATAACTGGGAGAGTACATTAGGCTACTTAAGCAGAGAGATCCAAAAAAAAAAAGCATAAGACAAAGTAACATGTTTCCAAAGCACTAATTTTGTATAGCTTGAAAAAGGTATGCTCTAAATCAATTTCAACCAATGTTGACAGACAAATGCACACAAAAAAGTACAGTTATTGAAACTACTTAATGCTTCATCGCTTAAATAGCAAACAACTTCTTGATCCAAAATAACCCTGAACCTGCACTATTCAGAACTACTTTGTGCATAGTGTATCATCCTTCCCTAAACTGCCTGCAGTTTCAATAGAATAAATACTGTAAGCAGGGACTTGTCTTTTGTTTTGTGGGTACCCACCATCTTTTACTCCAAGTTTTATATAAAAGATGTTCTTGTAATATAAAGAATTACAGAATGTTGATTGGCACTGTTGATTAGCACTGCTATGCATCTCTTGCTGGAAGTTACCACTTGTGTAGCAGAGTCACCAGAAGTAAAGATGTGGCCATTCCCGTACAAAGCCTTATATGAGGATGGGATAAATAGAAGGTGGTAATATTAAAAATCAACAGTAGAAATTCTGACATTCTCTGAAAACCCTTTAAGAGAGAGACGGTTCTGTTACCCTGAATGGAATGTTAACTCTGAAATTAATTATTGACAATTTCAGTGTCAATTCATACTTCTTTGCCCAGTGCAAGTGTTTGATGCATTTTGATGGTTATCAATATTATAATGTTCTGAAATATGTAAACTTTCCTTGTATTGGCTTGCACATCTGAATTCTGTAACAAGGAAAAAAAGACTCTGAGATTGAATACTTGTTTAAGAGGTCCTGTAAAACCACTTTGAGCAAATCAAGAGAGAGAAGACAAAAATTACATAAAGAAGTTACATTAAAAAGGCTAAGTAGAAAATTTGGCTTTTTTTTTATTTTATTTTTTTTTTAAATAAGAATCTGTTCAACTGATCTTTGTGTACATGCAGACACACTCCATTTAAACTTTCATCAATGCAACCTTCCTGAAGAGAGCTTGAGGGAAAGCCAGAATAAGCTATGACCGTGACATTTTAAAGAATTTATTTTCTCGCAGCAATAGTCATGCAGGAAAAATAGATGCCACAGACACTACATTTTGCTACATATATGAAATAGTATATTCCAATTGTATTGTGCATGGATTTAGGAAAAGTTTAAACAAGATATTCAATGCATTAAACTATAGACAAACTTTTCATTAAAACTTTGGGAAATGATATAACTAATGGCAGTCTTTAAAGTGACATTATGCTTCCATGCAGTTTGTTAGCCTTTTCAAAGAACTCAGTACAGTACAGCTCTAAATCTTGTCTATGCATTTTTTCCCACCAGAGGGTGCTGGCTATTTTTTAAAATATATATGTTATGGAAGAATAACTTAGGGTGCAGTACATAGCAGCAACCTGAAACAGGAACTAAAAAAGTTTTCAGCCTTCACTTACGTTGTCCTCAACACAGGCGGTTGCTGAGTAATTCCATTCTTAGCAGGGCAGCGTTTGTATTCAGGATTTCAGAGAGTGTATTGTAATGCAAAAGACTATTTAGGTAGTGGACTATCACTTTGCAGTAGTTTAAGCACCAGATTGGAAACACTGATGTAATTATTAGGCTAAGAACTAACTACCTTGCAGTTTGTTTTGGTTTGTTTGTTTTCTGAACCCTTGCAGAAATACAAGGAGATAAACTTTTTTTTTTTTCTCCCTGTCTCTCTCTTCTGTAGAGGACTGTAGCTCACAAACGTTTTGGGAAGAACTTCTTTACTGTGTGGGTGACAGAGCATTGGCACAGGTTGCCTGAAGTGGTTGTGGAATCTCCCTCCTCAGAAATTTTCAAAAGCTGGCCAGAAATTTTAGAGGAAAGTATATGTAGCTTAGTAGTACCTCTAGGACAAACTAAGTGAAGAATAGTCAATGCCTATGAAATGACTGGAGATTCATATGAAATAACTCTCCAGCAATTCAAAGGGAGAAGAAAAAAAAAAAAAGTAATGAAATACCTTTCTATGAAGTGAATTTGGCTTTGGTTTGCATGTTGGAGTTGTGAGCATCAGTATTCCCAGGGAGATACCAAATTTATGTTTAAAGTTTTTTTTATTATTATTATTATTTTTAGCTTATTCTCAAAATGAATCCATCTGCTTTAGAAATAAAGTTCTTGCGTGTTTAACTGGGATGTTTGAAGATCTCTAATGTGTTCTGAATTTAATAGTCTTACACTAGTTGTTCACCTCCTGATAAACAATTATTGAAGACCTTTAGTAACTAGGAGATTGGAAAGACAAGTTTGCACTATATTCTGCACATAATGCGGTGTCAAAACTTTATCCTAAGTAACCTCATTTAGTTTGTGTTCTCTCATGCTCTGTGAGATGAACTTCAGTCTGATGAACTAGAAACCAATCCTGCATGAACAGAACAAGATGGTGAGTTTGAAGGGACATGCAGTTACTCCATTCAGGAGTAACTAAAAATCAGACCCCATGTCTGAGCGTGTTGTCCAAACCCTTGAACTCCACCAGGCTCAGTGCAGTAACCACTTTCCTGAGGATCCTGTTTCAATGCATAACCACCTCCTTGATGAAGAGTCTTGCCATAATATCCAACCTGAACCTCCCCTGTCCCAGCTTCATACTGTTTCCTTGAGTACTGTTGCTGTCACCAGAGAAGAGCTCAGTGCCTGCCCCTCCACTCCCCTCATGAAGAAGCTGCAGGATGCCTTGAGGCCTCCCCTCAGGCTCCTCTTCTCTCAGCTGAACAAATCAAGTGACTTCAGCTGCTTCTCATACATCTTGCCCTACAGGCACTTCAGAATCTTTAGTGCCCTCCTTTGGATGTTCTTTAACAGTTTTAAGTCCTTATACTGTGATGCCCAAAACTGAACACAGTGCTCAAAGAGCAGAGCAGGGCGATCACTCCCCTCAACTATGTAGTGATGCTGTGCTTGATGCGCCCCAGGATGTGTTTGGCCCTTTCAGTTGCCAGGGCACACTGCTGGCTCATGTTAATTGCTGTCAATCAGAAGCCCCAGATCCCTCTCTGCAAGGCTGCTCTCCAGTCTGTATGTACAGCCAGGGTTGCCCTGTCCCAGGTGCAGAATCCAGCACTTTGTCTTGTTAAATCTTGGTGATTGCCCAGCAATCAAGATATTTCTTCAAGGCCTGTCTACTCACAAGGGAGTCAACAGTTCCTCCTCATTTAGTATCATCTGCACACTTACTTAGCGTACATTCAACTCTTGTGTCCATATCGTTTATAAAAATGTTGCAAAGAACCAGACCCAAAATGGAGCCCTGCAGAACCCCACTTGCGACTGATGTTAACCTCGTTTACTAGAGCCCTTTGAGCCCAACCCCCCAGCCAATTGGTCACCTATTGTGTCATGTGCTTGTCTAATTGTGTGCTGGACACTTTGTCCAGAAGGATACTGAGAGACGGTGTTAAAAGCTTTGCTAAAACCCTAAAAAATCATACCTACTGGCCTACCTTGGTCAACAAGATGGGTAACCACATTAGAAAAGGAAATTAAGCTTATCAAACAGGACTTTCCCATTGCAAACCCATGTTGGCTCTGACCAATGACTGTGTTGTCTTTCAGGTGTTTTTCAGTAACTCTCACAGTAATCTCCATAAATTTACCAAGCACTGAAATGAGACTGTCAGGCCTGTAATTGCTAGAGTATTCTTTCTTACCCTTCTTGAAAACCATGACAACATTTGACAGATTCCAGTTTTCTGGGACCTCTCCAGATTCTCTGGAACATTTAAAAATAATTGAGAGAGAGGTCTCAGGATGACATCAGCCAGCTCTTTGAGAACTCTGAGATGAATCTCATTTGGCCCTGAGCACTTACATGCATCCAACTGGAGCAGCAAATCCTACACAAGTTCCCAGTCAGCAGGGAGTTTATAAATTGGTATACAGCTACCAGTCCAAAGAGCAATTTTTATTTTTTTTTACCCACGTAAATACATAATTTGGTAGAAAAGTTCTCTTTCAAACATACCCTGGTAAGCATAAAAAGCCCTATTTGCTTGCCTTGGAAGAACACATTACTGTCCTTTTTCAGGTGTTTCCAGTACTATTTTGCATATGTGCACTCAACGTCTGGCTTGTGGCTTCTGAGGTATTCTTTGCTATACTGGGAGAGTTGAGCGCAACAGGTGATGAGTGGATCAAGGTGACCAATTCCTCCTCTGAGCAGCGACTGCGCTGTTCTGCCCCCGTGAGCACGGGAAGAGAGGCGAGCCCAGGAACTGAGGGCGCGCAGGCAGCCTTCAGCGGGGACAGCGCGGGCCCCGCAAAGAGCGCGGGCTACGGCACGCTGGGTCCGCGCCGCCGACGGGAGGCCCAGACACCCTGCCGCCCTGTCCGCGACCCCGCAGCCCGAGCCGTCCCGGGGCGCTGCGGACCACGCAAAGACGCCGCCGCGGGGGGCCGGGCCGGGCCTGGCGGCGCTCCGTACCGCCAGGACCGCGGCCCCGGCTGGACGCACTCCGCGGCCGCCAAGGGCAGCGCGGCACCGCGCACCTGCCGCCGGCGGTGGCTCCTGCGCACTGGCTGCTTGCTCGCGCGCGCCCGCCCCACGCAGCGCCGATTGGCTGAGCGCTCCCGTGCGGAGCAGCGGTTGGCCGGCGGGTCTGTCAGTCCGGCGCGCCCCGTCCCCTCCGCTCGGTCCCCCCCCTTGGCCGGCCTGGGCCTCGTCCTCGGCGGCTGAGGCGGGCGGGGGGATCGGTCCGGGGGCGGTGCTGCGGGAGCCTCCCTGCCGGCGGGGTCTCCGTCGCCGCGAAGGCTCTCGGGCGACGCCCGGGGCAGCCGTCTCCGGGACAGGTGAGACGCAGCCGGGCCCCGCGTCCCTTCCGGGGCAGGTGAGGCGCTGCCGGGCCCTTCTCGCTGGCGCGGGGCAGCCGCACTCTCCCTGCCCCGCCGCCCCCCGCCCGCTGCTGCCAACCCCGCCTCAGGCCCGTGCAGCGGGCGGAGCTCTGCGGAGCCGGGCCGGGCCGGGCGCCCACCCTCCCGGGGCTCGCCGCCTGCGGGAGGCCGCTGCTGCCCAGGGCTCCGAAGGGGCGGCGCGGGGCGCGGGCAGGTGTGCGAGCGGGGGGGCTGCGCGCCGCTACCTCGCCCCTTGCCGCGGGACCCTTCCTCGGGGACGCCTCCCCGGCTCGGGGCTCGAGCTTCGCCGGACCCTCAGTAAGAGCCTCCGAGTGCCGTAGCCCCGCGCTCTCAGGCGGTGCCCAGGGGCCCTCGTAACCGTTGCGGTGCTGGGGCGGCGTAGCCCGCAGCGGTGCTTATGCTGTCACGTCTGCTGTACGTCGCCTGTCCCGGTTCCCCCCCTCCGCTTCCATGCAGCGGGCACAGCTGGCCTACCGCATGCCTCGTGCATCTCGGCCGTGGGAGCAGTCGTTGTCTTTGTGCCGTGTCTGCGCAGATAGCCTACGAATTAGTTGGGTTTCTAAGGCTTGCTTACAAGCCTAGATGAGATGAGGTAGGTAGTTACTTCTGGGCGTGGGGATCCGGAGGGTACCGTGCTTTTCAAGACTGGGTAGAGGATGCGGGTGGACTTCTCAGCTGTGTATTTATTGTGAAGAGGCTAATGGGGGTGCAGACGTAAACCTTGTTTGCTCATCGTCCACTGGACTTCAGGAATAAACTTGAAAGCTATTTTCACGTTGCATGTGTGATATCGTTCAATACTTTTAAGGAACCTTGAATGGCTGAGATCTCTTTTCAGATCAGATAAATATTTTTTTAGTCTGGCTTCAGCAGGCTTGAAAGTGTCTAAGGTTCTGGCATGTGGTGGAGAAAACTTGTTGAAATTCTCAGCTGTAGAACTGTAGCATGTCTTTTGTCTGTAGTTCTAAATGTACAAAGAAATGGAACGCAGTTGTGAAAAATAAAGTTTATTGGTACATCTTTCTGCATGGAAAGATATTCCTTGCTTTAAAGACTTTGTAGTTGAACTAGAAATCTGTGTCCAACAAAAGCTTTTAAATTCTGGTTTGTTTTCATACTGAATTCTCATGTTGTACCTAGCAATTATCCTTTGCGTGTAAGGATTGAAAGTGTGTGTAGTAAGGACAGAATTTTGTGCACTTTTTTGTTCACTGCCTGTGTGTTTTCCATCCTGCATGCTAGCACCACTTTAGAAGAAAAGATATTAGGAAACTCCTATTTTAATGAAGCTATCTTATTTGATTTTCTGTTTATTTACCTTAGGTGTAGTAAAGCAGAGATATATAGAAATCGCGTGGGTGGTAGTTATGAGCTTTGTTTTCTGTCCATGTAAACTTTATTTTCAGGTTCTTAGTGTTCTTTATAATCAAACTGCATATGTGGATATGAAAATGTATTTAAAACTGTTACTAATGAGGGCCTTGAAAAGTGGAAGATATTATTTCTATTTTTCGTTGTCCTTTATCTTCCGTTCAAATGTAAATACCTTTAGACAAACTTGCATAGGAAGCACAGCCTTTTTCAGACTAAGAGACTACAGAACTTACTCTTTAAAAATTTGTTACTGACTACATTTGTTATATTTTCTATCTTACCTAGTGTTTTCTGCAGCTACCAATGCTGAAGTTGAACTGCGTGTTTTGTTTGTGTTTTTTTTTTCTGGTCTCTTTGGCTAAAGAGACTTTTCCTAAAGAGTAGCTAAAGCTCCTCTTTTTCAACTGCCAAAAAAAGTTTTGTTTTTAATTAAACATCATTTTTCAACAACATTTCTACATTGAAAGCTTTTATTCCACAGCTTTTTGCTCCAATTTGTCATCAAAATTAGAAAGCTAGCCTATTTGGAATGAGGAAAAAAAGTTCAACAGGGAGTGTCTGATTTAAAAATTATGTATTCAGTTCATATGAAACTTGCAAAAAAATGACACTTTTCATCAGCAGCTCATCCTGACTTAGTTACAAAATGACGGCATCATTTAGAAGTGAAAAGGAAAGTATAAAAATGGGACTAGGGGAACTACATAGCAATCTGTATAAATGGAATTTATGAAGTACCATAGATCAAAATGTAAAGAAAATATTCTGGAGTCTGTTGTACTTATTAGAGCTGAGGACAGCAAGGAAGAATTGGTACTGATTCTGTAGGAGGGAGGAAGCCTAGTAATGTGCTTGTTGATAGGAGAATTTGGGAAAATCATTAACGTATGTATGTTTAAAAATATATACTTTACTGGTAATAAACAAGGTGCTGTATCAGATCAGAATGGTGAAATATTTTGGAGTCTTAATAAATGTTGGACAGTGTCTCCTGAGGATGCTATTTAAAAGTCTTTGAGAACAATGTTTCAAACTTCTTCTGAAATTGCTGGCTACAGTTGAGATTCCTGGCCTGCCGGTCCTGATTTCCAAGACTGAGAGTTCCAGTGTTGAGCTAATAAAAGACAAGTGCTCTCTCAGGCTCATTCTTTTAATATTATCTTTGTTACCAATATCAAACAAAATAATGGGAAAAATAGGCTGGGGTTTATTTAATAATAGATTGAAGGACAGTATTGGGGTAGTCAGGCAACAAAGTTCTGTGAAAAAATTGTCTTGCTAACCAAGGCTTTGTTCTTGTATGCAATTGTAGGTTGACTTGACTGGGGTAACTAGGTAGCTATAAATGTTCAGGTAATCAGTCAAGCAGGCTAGTACTGCATGATACTCCAACTTTCTTAAAAAAGAAAAGTATTCTTTTAGCAAGAAATGCAATAAACGGATGGTTTTCTATCTGTAAGATACATTTCTACTAGCTGCTGATGGAAAAAGTACTTAATAACACATCTGTAGGGCACAGTGCGTAATTTCATCAGTGATCTGACAATAAATTTGTGAATGCCATGGTTAACACTTGTAAATGACTTCGTAAAATGGTGAGCAGTTATGACAGAACAGAGGGAAGTGGCCTATGCTGTAGTATGCTAGGTATTCAAATAAAGTTTGTGTTAAGGTCAAACGTTTTTATATCAAAGAAGAGGAAGTGTAGGCTTCATCTAGACACAAGGGAATATATTTTGAGGAGCAGTCATTCTGTGAAAGATGCAGGCAGTCAAAATAGGTAAGCAACTCAATATGAACTCTAGGTCCAATGTTGGAGGAAAAAAAGGATTAATACTGTGTCTAAATAAACAGATAAGGATGAAGTAAGCAGAGGAAGATTTCAAGCTCTAAAATGTATTGGTGAAATCGGTGCTGAATTACAATGTAGAATTCTGAGATTCTTGTTTTGAAAAGGGAGGTAAAAGTTTTGAATGCCCCAAAATTAGCAGTAAAAATATTTTAGGAGTTTGTGATGAGAGCCTTTAAGAGCAAGATCCTCCAAATTGATTAAATGGAGAATCAAGAAATGTCTGGAACAAAAGAGAAATGTTTGCTGCAATCGGCCTCTTCAAGGTGAGCAAAAGAGATCTGTGAGAACATCTAAGTGATCCAAAAAAGTGTTAGTACTGGGAGAATGTTAGAGAACAAGTATCAGGTAGGTACGTATCTTGAAGGGTGTGTGTTGTTCTTCTATCCCAGTCCTGGAAATGGTGTTATGAAATTAGCAAAGCTACAGAGTGGGGCAGTGGGGATGAAGTGAAGGATGTGGTCTACTTATGACTAAACTGTAAGCTGCCTGGGAGACCTCAGCCTGCAAGATTTGTCTGCGAAGAGAGTATAGTATCTTTATAACATTACGAATTGTGAAGGTGAATAGGCAAGATTGTTTTTTGTCTGTTTTTGAATTGTCTTTAATGCAAGAACCAGAGGACATAAAATAAGACTAAAAAAAAGCCAGATTCAAGAGCAAAGTTTTTTCACAAAAACATTAATATTCTCGCAAATTAAGCTGCAGGGCTTCTCATCAGAGGATGTTGTAGGTGCTCCAACTTGATGTAGATTTGTGAGGCAACTAGATAAATTTATAAGAGAGAAGTCTAGAGAAATCATAAAGTGAAAAAAATTTTATCTGTGACTTGAAGTCCCTGAACTGCAAACAATGATTGACAGGAAAAATATTTTGGGAAAGTAATGCTACATGTTTTCATTCTTCTGCTTTTTTGTACCTTCTACCTATGAACCCATGTGGAATTTGGAAGCTGTGCTGGAAAGATGGTTGGTTTTTCATGTTACAGATGCTATTATGTTCAGGATATAAACAAATGATACTGAAGACAAAAGACTTTAAATAAGAAATTAGGATGTATTTATGGAGCAAGAAGACTGGGGACTTCAGATCTATCTGTTCCCTGCTAGTAAAAACATCCTGTGTTCATTTGTAGATAAATTATTAAGGTTAATTCACAAACAACTAAATGAAACTTAAAGACCTGTCATTAAAACCTACAGATAAGTTTAAGTGATTGTAGTGATCTCTTATGGCTTAAATTCCTGTGAAAAGGGAGGGTAGGCATGTCAGTGATGTGTAATACCCATGCAAACTTTAAATTGGATATAGAATGGTATGCTTAGGTATTCACAGTCTGTAGCTTGGGCATCTTTTAGAATAAGGAATTAGTGCAGTTGTAGAATAATGCAAGTTGGGAGGGACCTCCAGAAATAATCTAGTCCAGATCCATGCTCAAAGCAGGGTCGGGTTACCGGTTACTTTGAATTTTGTGTTTCTGTAACCTCTCCAGGTAACCTTGCTTGTTCCAGTGCATAAGCGTTTTCATTGTGAATATATTTTTTCCTTATGTGTAATTGGAATTCACTTTGCTCTGACTTCTCTGTTGCCTCTTATCATTTCATCGCTTGCTTTGGAGAAGTCTGGTTCCATCTCCCCAATAATTTCTCTTAAGGCAGTTAAAGCCAGCAATGAGATTAGTCCTTAACTTTGTCCTCTTAGGCTGACAGAATTAGGTTTGTTAACCTTGTCCTCTTGCATCTGAACTGTCGTATTTTCTTATTTTTTGTCATTGAAAACCTAACTTTCAGTTGACCTTTATGTCTGTCATACATATTCAGTTTCCTGAACATTATGCTAGGTAGTCTTCTATTGAACTTTTTCTGAAACTGCTCCAGGATGGCTTTCCAGGAAATTCACTTACTTCAATAGACTGATTGGTTTAGAATTACTGTAGTATCTTTACATTTATCTTATAAAATATCATCTTCAAGTGATGGAAAATGAATAGCATAAAGGCTTAGGTATTTTGTATACCAATGTTTTCAGATTTTAAATGCTGAGTAGAAAAACCTGCAACTGTTACGTGAATGTAGACTTTGTTTTTGTTTTAGCAAAGCATAGCTGATCCTTTGCCAAAGAAAAAAGACTGCTTAGGTAGTTTAGTTAAAATATGCTACTTTCAGTGACTTTCTTTTATGACTGCATCTATTTATAAGCAGTCAGAAATAGATATGCATTAGTATCTCCTCTCTTAAGTAAGTACAAGTATTTTTAATTAAGAAAATAAACTAAGTATTAAAAATGTGTATTTTTCTTATGTTTGGATAAGAAGGCATTTTCCTGTCTTATTTAAGTTTCCCTAAAAATCTTAGATACCCTCTTAAGGGTATCATGTGACATCAAAAGAATTGAGAATATGGAAGCTTTAATACTTCCTTTAGAAAGTAATACGAAATGTAAGGAATCTGGAGTATTCTACAGTTGTCTAAGACATGGTTTGGGTTTATAAAAGTTAGTATAAGGCAAAAGAGGAGAAAAGGAAAGGGTGACATGGTCTAAACATCACTAAGGCAAGCCACCTAAACAGTATTTTCTCAGGTTTGGTGGTGGACTTGTTCTAATGGAAGAGCTGAGCTTAATTTGCCAATATAAAGAAATTAAGAATGATAGTATTTGGGTTTGTGTCCATTCTGCTATGTTTAGTTAAGTCTTGAGGAATCCAAAGTGAGAATGAGTAGCATTTACCAATAATTGCACCGATATCAATTCGAAAGTTGTACTGGCTGACCATGTGAGAAAGAGTTACAGGTAATCTTTGGAGTATACAGTAATACTACAGGTACTATTTGGAGAATAGTTATAAAATTCTTCATATGTTGCTCTTTCCTAAGTGATGTATTATTTGTTCAATACTTTTTTTTTTTTAAGTTTTGGAAGTTGTCTCATACTAGTCAAGGTAGAATGGGAAATTAGCAATCAAAGCAATTTACAACTGGGAGGGAGAGCCAAGAATAAAAATACCCAAGCGCGTGTTACAGGTAAGAAATGCAGAGTTTGGGAAGAACTGAGTTATATAATAAATGTCGCCATAATTCTGTTTCTGGTTATTTGCAGGAATGTCATGCTTTTAAACAAGAGATAAATCATCTCAATAGTGAGAGCCAGTCTGAACAATGGATTGATGGAGATGTGCAGCAAAATGGGTTGAGTGAGTGCAGCACTAACTTACTCTGCTGTAAGTATGCAACTGTGATTAAAGTAGGTATTTTCCTATTTTCATCTCTGTTTGATACCAGAGATTATGGAAGTGTCTATCAGCTTTCTTCTGTTGCGAAAAGAACCTAGAGTCATTATAGTATTATACAGTAATACTGCAGATATGTACTTTTTCTTTGACAGCTTTATTGAGACTTACCTGAAGTATAACTCTCTCAAGTGTATATCTTGTCGTAAGTTAGCAGATGTGTTTGAAGGATAATGGCTTTTGAGAGAGGACTGACTTCTGCTAGAGATAAAACTGCAGCTCTGTTTTGATATGGATCAAGATGATATCAGATTCTTAAATTGGTATTTATTATTTATTCTTTGTGAAGTACAGCTATTGCTTTTTTAGTTATTGTTGTTAACCTGAGAAATATTTTTTACTTTGTTCCCTTCCACATTAAGCAGCAGTGCTTGCTCCATTTTTTCCTCATTTTATTTAGTAATCTTTCAGTTTCTTAGCAAATACTAAGACACTGTTTGTGGTCATATTTCATTTAACTTAAGTAATTAACAGTTAACATAGCATTGCTATGTTTGTATGGTTATAAATGTTAATTTTTTTTTTTCAGGTACTAAAATGCAGCCTGCATGAGCTGCTTTTGTGAGGGTGACTCCTGCAGAATATGAACTGCATGTAATCTGGATTAAGATAAAGTAATTTAACGTCACACAGCAAGGAGTTAAAACACCCCAACTACATTTTTGGAAAAGGCCACTGAAATAGCAATACAGTGTTCTTTCATTGTTCCATGAAAGTTCAGTCCTTCTTTCCAGAGTGTCAATAGGAGACTGGACTGGAGGCTGTTGTCCAATAGCTTGTTTGAACTGATACATGTATTACAGTAAATTGTCTTCATACAATCGTCTGTTGGAATGAGGATTGCTTGCAGACCAATGAATTTTAAACCAATCTTTTGAGATGCGTGGGATAGATCTCTATGTTAGAGTTATTGTCAAAGTGTAGAGGAAGCCTGAGATGACTGATGCTGATAGATGGATGCTCTTGGGAAGTATCTTGGGTGACTGAATTATCAGCCCTGAGACCTGTACCCGTAAAGTATTTGGAATCCTGCACCCATTACTTTAGATTTCCATGATACACATTTCTGTATTTTATCTGCATTGCATTAGTTTTCAGTTTACTGCATCAATAGTTGATACCTTAATCTTGCGTTCAAATTTAATAGTATGACATAAAGTTGTTAAAGGATTTCTTTAACCAAAAGCTTGAGATATGCTTTCTTTTAACCTCATTGGGGTCCAAGGCTTGTCTCTATTGTGCCCATGTTCTCTCCTTCCCACAAACGCACACCTTCATATCTTCGTAGCTCTAGGGAGATGGCAGCTTTTTTTTTCCCCTCCCTTATCTACTACTGCCTTGTGAGCTACTATTGCTAATACATACCTGCTACTGTACCAGAAAGACAGTTTGGAGAGGGTGGAGCTCTTATCAAGTTCATGCACGTTCTCTGGATAGTGTATGTACTTACGTGGCCTGTAAATGCTATATCACGTTCAGTGAATAATAGGATTCTATCATATGGAATATAAATGTTCCACTAAAATAGTTTCCAGATAGTACTGTCTTCTGGCTGACTTCACATTAACCATTTGTGACACTTTCTCTCAATTTATTTAAGTTTTTCTAAATTATGATGTAAAATAGGTTTTCAGAGTAATTGCATATAAAAGTAGAACCATTTCCGTTTTTTTTTTTTAAGAACATGTGGATGTCTTTCATAGATTTTCTGAGTTATGATTATATGCTAAAACAGAAGATTTAAGATATGTTGAAAACAGGCCTTTTAATAAGTTAAGAATCACTGCCGCCTAGTGGAACATTGTAAACCTTGTGTTCTAAAACAAATTAAATTTGGAGAGACTAAGTCTAGAGGTTTTTACGGTTGACACAGAATGAGGCATTCTAAGTAGTAGTAAATCATACTAGATTATTTTTTTGTGGGGGGTGTGGTGGTGGAGGATAGTTTACATTTAAGTTCTTAATTTAAGAAATGCAACATTTTTTTTTCCATTGAGAGTAGAAGACGTGAGATATCCCTGCTGACTTCTAGTATTTGAACACAAAAACCACCTTATAATTAATAGAACATTTACAAACAAAGCAAAGCAAAGGCTGTTCTTTTGAGGCAAATATTGCAAATACTAGTCCTTGCAAGTCCCTCACAGTAATATTGTTTATATACTGCTTGAAAATATGTTAATGATGTTAGTGTGACTGCCCCAGGTGTCTTCTAATCTTCAGACTGGTACTAAGTATGATAATTCAACTAGTTTTTCTGAGAAATTTAAACACAATTTAATGTTTGACTAGATGTTACTGCTTTAGTTGAGAGACATTATTTTAAATTTTTGAATGAAAACAAAAAGCTGGGTTTTACAGAAGCAGAAAATATGTTCCAAACGCCAGTAACTGACCATAATTGTTTCCTTCCTGCTGAGAGTGGAGGCATCGTTTTTTTGTTCTTGTTTGTGGTTGGATTTTTTTTTTTTTTAAACAATGAAGCATTCTTTTGTCCTGAGCAAACAGATTTTTTTTTCCTTAACGTGCTGTATTGATACAATGAGAGCAGATGCAGCACTTACTTAACTTGGAGAGGAGAATCTGCAACACTGTGGTATGGGAGTGTCAAGTCAGTGAAGCTAAGGGTGAATTTAAGACACCTTGTAATTTTCCAGTAAATCTATTTTTGTACTATGACTAATTTAAAAATTCATTTTGTTAATTTATTGCTTGTTCTCACTTTTCATACAGGTGTTTACTGCAGATTCTGGGTTTTGCACTGATTTTCAGTATTAAAACTTTAATTGATATGTTTCTGGATTGAATTAATGATGATGAAAACAAGGGAAGACACTAGTGACAATCACTTAAGTCTTCTATACTGTACGTGTGCAATAAAATTTCCTTGAATTCTTCATCAATTTTAAGGGATGGCTGTGTTTGTTTTTTTTTGGTGTTTTTTTAAAGTCCAAGCTTGATGTGAAGACTTCAGAAATTGTTTATTAATTATTAGAAACCTCCACTATATTTCTTGTCTTAATTGCTTTAGGTATTCAGATGCTATCTCTACTTAGTTAAATGTCACTTGAACATGCCTTTTTTGTGTGTTTATACAGATAGCATTGATCATGTAATTACATTACTTCTTGAGGCGGCAGAATGGCAGAAATGGCAGCAGAAATAGCTAAATGGAGATAGGAGAAGAGAAAATGGAATAATGAATTTGTAAATATAATAAACAGGCATTTGAGTGAACTCAGTTATTTGTGGGTGTAATAAAATATGGGATATAATCAGTATGGAAATAGCATTTCATATTCAAGCCTGCTTTTCCAGCCTCCTGCTCTTTCATGGTTTTACCAGCTAAGGATTCTGTGAGATAGTTAATATTTTTTAAATTTAATTTAGACAGTTTAGGAGCACTTATGAAGTGCATTTTAATGAGGAGATTGTACGTACAGATCTTGAATGAAAAATGTATCTTGTAGTTATTTCAAAAACCTGTAAGACCATATTTTAATTCACTTTGCAGAGTGTCAGCTCTACCTTTTTGGTGTAGTGGTCACCACAGATTCCTTTTATTTATTTATTTTTATGTCCAGGTTGCTATGATGGTGAGTTCTTTTGGAAAGCCAGGATTTGGACTGTTGCAGGACAACTAAATTACTGGGTTAACATACAGTTAATCCACAGAACCTTAATGTTTATATGTTTTTGGTTTAAATCCTCTTTCAATCTGTTGAACACTGACAGGACTGATGACCCTAAGTATGGGATGCACTTTGTTAAAACTGCTCAATTTTTGTTTTACTTGTGCTGATAGTATAACAGTGAATGGTGTAAATCACTGCAAATGAACTTTGGAGTATTGTTTCCCTTCAAAAGATGTATCTTCATTGGATCTTGTCATAGCCCAGCACAGGATCTTCTATGCTGAATTAAAAACATAATTTCCATTAGCTTTTCATTATTCACTATTAACTGTAGTAAGAAGTTTATCAGAAAAAAAATGTGCTTGAAACTAGTAACTTGTTTGTGACATTTTATCTATAGGTGGTACTGTTGCATAAATAATAATGAAATATATTTGAACTTCCTGATAAAATGGATACTAAAAACATGTAGGCAAGACAGTTGTCACTTAGGATGATTTTATTCATAAGATTAAAAAGTGTTAACATTCATATATCGCCTATTTACTTTTCTTCCTTAAACTGTTAGTAGGCAATTATTTGTATCCAGGAATTTAAATATTTTATAACTTTTTGTGTTGTACAAAATCATAGAATGGCTCTAGATGGCTCGGGTTGGAAAGGACCTCAAAGATCATCTAGTTCCAACCCCCCTGCCATAGGCAAGGATGCCACCCACTGGATCAGGTTTCTCAGGGCCTCATCTAACCTGGTCTTAAACACCTCCAGGGATATGGGGCATCCATATCCTCTCTGGGCAACCTGTTCCAGTGCTTCTCCAACCTCTGAGTAAAGAATTTATTCCTAGTATTTAATCTAAGTATCCCCTTTTTTTAGTTTAAAGCCATTACTTGTTCTGTCACTATACTCCCTGACAAAGTCCCTCCACAGCTTTCCTGTAGGCCCCCTTTAGGTACTGTAAGGACGCTGTGAGGTCTCCCTGGAGCCTTCTCTTCTCCAGGCTTAACAACTCCAACTCTCTCAGCCTGTCTTTGCAGGAGAGGTGCTCCAGCCCCTTGATCATCTTCTTGGTCCTCCTCTGGACCTGATCTAATACATCCATGTCCTTCTTGTGCTGCGGGTACCAGAGCTATAAAAATGGCCAAAAGCATTGTGTTGAATCATTTCAAAAGGACAAAAGCTTTTGCATATAAAGCATTGTGGCTATTAGACCACTCAGCTATCCTAAGTCTTATGCACGTGTTTATGCATGCATTTTATGCCACGAAAGGGCTTCAGAATGGCACATAAAAGATTTCTGTTTTCTGAAGGAAATAGGTCATTTCTGCCTTTACAATAGGAAACGCAGTCTTTTTCTTTTCCACTTTGCAGACGTCATATGTGAGGGAATGAGATTTGAGGGTTGATATTTGGCTGGACAGGGCACTCAGGAAAGTAAAGATAGGACATAGTGTTTCAAAGTACTGAATTTCTCAGATGGGATGCTGTCAGTCATGTTTTTACAGCGTGGTGCTCGGTGCTACTAACTTTTCTCTAGGTTAGCAAGTATCCGCATAGAATTCAGCAGCTACTCCTTTGAAAGATTTAAAGAAGTTCTACTTTTGAAATGCATCCAGACTGGCTTGCTTTGTCACAGCAATAATAAAACAGCTATAAACCACCCCAACTCAGAGTTTGAAAGTTTACTTTTTTGCTTTCTAATTTTAAGATGATGACACTAAGCAAATGAAATTTAGAAAAAAAAAAAAAAGGCAAAAAAAAAAAAAAGAAAAGCTACATACCTAGGTCTGGAGCATAAGCAGAACATAGTTCTAGATAAACTTAATGCTAATTCCCTTTTTATTTATCAATAGCACAAAAAGGTGGTGCTTTTTTTTTTTTTGCCTATTTCAAGCCTCTGGTCTGAAACTAGATGTGACATAAATGGTGATGTATGGTTCACATCAGTGGTTGAAAGCAAGCAGAGGGGTGCAACCACGTTACTGTTTCATCCTGTTTTCATAATGCAGTCCCACTTTCATCTTCCAATATGTTAACTGTAGCATATTCTCATTTGTACTCTACGCCCACAGCATCTGAATATGACTTTTGTTCATTGTTCATCACGGAAAGCAATGTTCTAACGTTGAACATCTGGAGGAATAGTTTTGTGATGAAGAAAGGAAAATGAGTGCAGAGATCATAAATCAGAAGTGAACGTAGAGCTCTGTGTAGTATGTTGTAAAGGTGTCCATAGGTTATGTCAGCTGCCAGTAAAGTGGAATAGTATATTGAAAGGATCTTGCTTTTTACCTCCAGCAAGATCAACAGTGTTCTTCATTCCCTTATCGTGGTCAATGACAGCTAACCTTTCTGATGTTTGGCATGGGTGTTTGATTGTTTTTTCTTTTTTTTAAATAAACCAGAACTGTTAACTCTTGTTGGTTCCAGCCAAGTTTATCAGTGCTCAAATGGGGCCTTACTGCTTTTTGTCTTCACTGAACAGCTGAGCGGTTAATTGGAACTTAAGAAAAAAGTCAGCTTTTGGTAAAATACCAATGCATATTGTCTTAAAAGCATGCTACAGCTGTCAGTTCATGATTCAGTGATATTGGGAAAACCACAATGACTTAATGAAGTTATTAAGTAGGTAGGGTTTGAAATTCGTGAAGACATTTATAGTTTGGAGCTCAAAACGGCCGTACCAAGTCTTATCAGAAGTTTGTCTAAACCAATATTTTTTCTCCAACAAGAAAATCAGTAAGATTAATGGTCATCGATGGTTTCAATGGTTGCTTACATAGTTATTGTCATACTTCTTGAGAACAGTGTGGTTAGTTACTTCCCCTGAATAGTCTGCTAGCATTTAGAATTTATAGCACAGTGACTTTATTGGCCAAAAGTGGTATCTGTGCTTAAGATTCCATAAGGACTGTCTCGTGTAATAAGGTTGAACTTGTGGTCTTTGTAAGTAGAATACATGCATATCACTAAAAACAATGTAAAGTTAGCCTTTCTACTTTCAGAGAGCATCGCTCCTGTACCATACATGACAAAATTTGGCATATTCTGTTAAAATAATGGTTATAGGGAATATTGTGTTTTGTTTTGATTTTTTTTTTTTTCAATTTAGTTGATCTTGCCCTGTCTCCACTTCTGCTTCAAAGAGAAGAAATCCATGTGTAAATGGGTTTAAGTTGGCAGCAAAGAGCGGACACCCTCTGTTGGTATGTACATTTGCATCCTGACTTGTCCATTTTGCTACTATCTCTGAATGAGATCTACTATAGCATACATGTGAACCTTCCCTACAAACACAAAAGGGCTTTTTCATTTCGTTTTAGCACTGTTCATATAATAAATCATTTTAATGATTAACTAGTCAAGAATATTTTCAAGAAGCAAAGGCTATGGAATGAAGTTATGTTATTTTAGGGACTTTCATTGCCAACCTGTTGGACCTTTTATAATTTTCAGAATTTTGAGTATTTCTTTTTAATCTCACTGGAGTGAAATATTGCAAGTGTGGGAGAGTATCTTTTGTATTAGCTGTTCTTACTATCTGTTTGCATGTAGTCTGACAGTCCTTTGTTACAGGAGACTTAGTAGTAGCTCCACTGTTAATTTGCAGAGTAATACCATTTGTGGTAGCAGGTGTGGAAATGCTTCATATCACCAGATGATTTCATAAGAATAAAATCCCCACCTTTGACTATGTTTGCAAAGACAATTGCTCTCTATGACTTTCCTCCAGCAAAAGACAAAGGCTATGGGAGTTGTTTTTCATACAAGATGCGAATCTTGGAGAAACCTGCACACACGCACACAAAAGTAGCGTAATTTTAAAGCTTATGCTATATTTGAAATATTTGTGGAAAAATCAATTTTGTTCCTTTTTAAAATGCAAGTATCTAACCCAGTAGGCTTTCTGTGTGCTGAATTTTTGAAAGCAAAAGTACGCTAGTGCTTTTGGTTTCAGATGTTAAAGCGCTTCTGTCTCTTGTTTAGTAAATGTAAAAACTTGCAGTAAAACAGAGCTTGGACAGGATACAAGATCACATATGGGATTTTTCTTTTCCCCTTTCAGAGCATTTTTGAGCCCCCGCACACTGGAAAGCCTAGTCAGGAAGGCGGAGAAGGAGGAGACAAAAGTATTTTTGTGGCCATGATATAAATACTACATTTTAAAGAAATTACATCATAAAAATTGCTTTCCACCTCAGTATCTCTAAGGGCTATTAACAGAAGCAACTCCAGACCTAGAAATACTTTGCAGTCTGCTAGTGCTCAAAATACAAGTTTGTTTTATCAGGACACAAGATAAAGGACATTTTTTCTTGATTAGTTTAACTGAAGAGATTCTGGTGTTATCTGAAACACAGTTATTGATTGATTTCACACGTGTCCATGCAATGGTGTGAAAAATTGCTGCTGTTTGTTCTGTAAGGCCTTTTAGGGTGATAAGTGCAGCAAAGACCTTGCTTTTCTCAATGAAGTAAAATAAGGGGTTACTTTTATTCTCATCTGCGCTTTTTTTTTTTCCCCAGCATTTTCCTGTTTGTGTGATTGAAGTATATTAGGAAAGGATAAGGATATGAAGAGAGATGTGGTGATAGCCCTAGTTGTATATTTGAGTACCTGCAGACTGTAATTTGTATGCATTTTGCTAAAAGGGTACATATACAGGAGCCTGTGGCAGTGGTTACCATGGGGTATGCTGTGTGAAATGATTGTTTTCTCATTGTGAAGTGAATCAGTGTTTGAGCTGACTTGGTAATTCTGTGAGCAGTTCCTTTTTTGTGTGCATACTTAAACATACATGAATAATACTGCTCATAGTATGTGTGTGCATGCTGTGTATGAAACATTCTCAGCAGCTGTCTGCTAGCAGTATGTTTGAAGTATGTGTAAACTTTATGCAACACTACCAGTTCTTCATGTAGTTAAACAGGACTACAGAGTTATCTGTACTTTAATCTGTCCCTAAGATTTTAATCAGTCCCTAACAGCTGATTTAGATGTTATAGTAAAATAGTCAGTTCATTTTGCTTTCACCTCGCGGTATCATACTGATTTAAATTGGGGGAAAAGTTCTTTCTTTTGATGGGACAGGTGCTGGAATTCAGCAGTCTCTTCTGCACAGTCCTGTGAGTGTTAGCTTTTAATATATATATTAATATATATACACACACACACACATCTTAACAAGTTTTCACTGAAGGTTCCATTAGGTGCTCAGATCTGAATCATGCAAGACATCCATCGCCTACATAACAAAACGAGGGGCAGATCCTCTGCTGAGACCTCCTCTATATAATGAGGAATGGATCGTGTTGAACACTAACTTTGGGAAGGCTTCTAAACATCTACTGCTGTCCCCTTATTCAGTTAATCATCCATTTCATTGTAGTCCCAAGAATCTGTTAATGTATACCTATAAAATTGTTTATAAGGTAAAAGTAGTTTTAGATTTGAGAATGTATAAACTCTCATTCACGATGCAATGTACATAAACTTCAAATGTATCATTATGATACATCTGACAAAATTTTCAGGATAAGAGTGCAATGTGGTATTGAATTTTTTACTGAATGTCTTTGGCAAGTACTGTGCCATTGTGCTGTCACTAGGACAATAATGTAAGGGCAGCTTTAGCTTATTAAGCTAGTAATGAGTATGAATGTGTGCAAAATGCACTAAACATAGTGTCTATATTTTGACTGTGATTAAGAGTAGAATTTAAATTTGGTGCTGACTTTTACTTCATGTCATATAAATATAAAGAATGCACGTCTTGAAACAGCATCTTCTGTTTCAAGAGGAAGCAGTGAATCAATTGCAAAGTTTTATTGTGGTAAGAGGCCCACTGTGAGGGAGGGGCCTGATTTATCCATTGGTGGCAGTTCTCTGAGTGACATAAAGCTGCCTAAGGGAATTTCTGAATTAGCCAACATTATGGTCACATTCTATGTGTTGTTTTTTGTTTTTTTTTTTTGCTACATAGATCTGGAAATAAAGTTGCTTGTGATTCCTTTCACTTCCTCTTACATAAAATTTTGAACAAAGGGAATGTTGTGCATGGAAGTATACGTTTTTGTTATCTGATAAGAGATTTTTATTTAGAAGTGTTTGTGTGTAATTCTTTTGAGTACACTTTTAATTTAATCTGAATTCAAAGTCTGTAGTTACATCAGTTGCTGTCATTTTAGTTGTGCCTGTTTATATATATATATATACCAGTTGTGTTTTTTCTGATGGAGATGCAACTTAATTAATGAACTCATACATCCTCTGTCTACATGGCAAGTATCCTTTAAAGCATAGTAGTTAAAATACATCAAAAAAATGAAGTTAGATTTCCTGGTATCAGGGAGATGATTCTTTGCTGAATACTCAGGACTATCATGTCCTGTAATTATTTGTGCTTTATTTGAAGATTGGTTGGTTCTTTTATTTAATAATGTTACTATTTGTTACTATTATTATTATGTTAAATATGTTACTATTATGACCAAAAGGCTGTTAATTCAGAACTGAATATGGTTTTGTTTTAAATGTTCATTAAACACTTCGTATTTCTGCAGCAACTTAGCTGGAACAGATCGTTTATTTCAAGTAGATAGAGGTAGCTTCTTTGTGATACTGCATACTCTTTTTTTCCATCCAGTCTTTGGTTTCTGAAGGAAGCTTAAGGCGATATATGTGAAGTCATAAGCTAATTTGGAAATGTACCTGTCTGCTTAAGACAGTTTGAAAAAGTCTCATTTCAGACAATGTTGTTGCTGGATTAGCCAAGATATTTGAGATTCATCCTTCCAACTACAGACAACGATGTTGGCATGTTCTGTTCTTTGGGACTTGACTAAGATGCTTTCAGGCACACCTGTCTGTAAATATTAGTGGAGGTCTGAGCAGCTGCAAATATAATTTCTGTATTACTCTCATACAGTACACTGTATCACCAATTATGAGAGTATTTCATACACTTAAAAAAAAAAAATAAAAAATGATGAGCAGAGAATTGTGAGGAAGCACCATTTCTTCAGTCAGTTAATAGCTTCAGTTTCTCATCTAAAGGTATATTGTGGTATCCTGCAGTTTCTGGATGAATACTTACAGTCCTTTACATTTGCTACCTGAAACATAAAAGACAATCTATTTATATTATAAATTAAGTTATTAATAAACTTAAGTTTATATTGTTTCTAAGGAATCTTTTCATTTAGAAATAAGTGTGTTTGCTTTACAGGAATTCTGCTTTTATCATGTTGTCTTACCAGTGCTGGCTGAGCTGAAACTTCTGGCTTCCTGGGGAGAGCATGTATAAAAGGAATGACTTCATGGCCAATGTGATGGTCACCTCTGCCACTCCAGAGGTAAAATTCACTGGTGTTTTTTTGTTTTGTTTTGGTGTTTTGTTTTTTTTTTTTGTCTTCAATCAAAATTGGAAGTGTTGGTTTGTTTCAGGTTTCAGAGAAACCATTTCCTCTGTCAGTCATTTCAGTCATGTTTCTTACAAACAGCATAGTAACAGTGACAACAAAGTAATTTGAGTGTCCCCCCTAAAAAAAAAAAAAAAGTGTTCCATGTGATGTGCTGCGTACAGCTAACAGCCTGTGTTTGCAGGTCCAGGAGAGACAACTGAAAACTGCTTGGTAATTAGCTACCCTACTGAATTTTTCTTTTTTACCCTGTAAAGCACATGTTTTAAATGTATGAAACTTGTTCTGAAACATTTCCTGTTTCTACACTTTTTAAGCTAGAGACTAATTCTACATATGTGTTAAAGGTTTGGGTGCACCGTAGATTTATAAAGGATCATATTCATACACCTTTATATATTTTCTCTTTTCCTTTTTCAGATTTATCAAACTTGTGAAGCCCCTTTTTTAGTTTTTCATTGCCAGCTTATGTTTTTGTTTTACCATCTTGAGTAAACAAAGTGAAGATAAACAGTCATCAACAAATTGTCACCTCATTGTTTGTTATCTTTTCAAGGCTGCTGAATATATAATAATACTTGCTTACCTAGATGTACTTCTCTGCTGATTTACATATTATTAACGTTTCTACCTCTAATCAGCTGCTCTGCCTCCTGTCTTGTAAATAATTATTTATCATTGCAAGTATAGTCTCTGTAGTAAGGTTGCATGATTTCTTTAAAGGCTTTGGAATCAGGAACCATGGAAGTACTTTTGGAAGTTCAACAAGATTGTATTAACCATTTTCTTTGCCATTTCCATTTCTCTCAGTATCACCACGTCTGTTGATACTGAGGTAGTGCTGCTCATTCTAAATGTTATCTTGACAGTTTACTAATACAGATACCTAACTGTGTTTCTACTAATTCCCCTTTATACACTACTTAGATTTACCCATTACCAATGTCAGGCTTCCTAATCAGTAGTTCTCCAGATACTTTGGAGGAGAAAGGGAAGAAAACAAACGAAAAACAGCATCACATTTACCAGTTCCTAGTTCTTTGTTACCAAGTCAGTTTTAAGTGAGATTTACATGCCACAATTAGTCGTTCATCTTTGTTTGACAGCTGTGTTCTAACAAACAAATAACTTAAGTGAGGTAAGGACTTAAGATTTTACATGCATGTATGTGTTTAATATGTAGTTTTAAGAAATAGGGGGGAAAAAAAAAGATGGTGTTACTATTATTAAATGAGATTGTTCCTGAAGAAAGGAATTGCTATTTTTTCATCCATAACAATAATAAGGAACATGATTTGAATCTGCCTAATCTTTACCTGTCGGATTTAATTTAAACACTTCCTTTGAATATGAATCTTCAAAATCCCAATAAGATTCCTTTCATGAGACAACTCTTTAGTCTATAATTTAAAAAATAGCTTTCTAAAATGTGGAATTTCAGAGCTAAAATTGTACGTCACCATAGTTTTTGTAGAACAGTTTTCTGAAATGTGTTAGAAATATTCACAAACTGTGCTAAATTAAGCTTAATAATGTAGAAGTATGCAGCTTTTTTGAAGGTTCACAATTTTTCTTGTTATTTCTTAATCAGATGTGAGTTTCATCAATCTGCAGATGTGTACTTTTTTTTGTTGTTGTAGGGTAGTAGCAGCTCAGATTCCCTGGAAGGGCGAAGTTCAGATTATGCCAATAAAAGCTATGATGCAGTTGTATTTGATGTATTGAAAGTAACTCCTGAGGAGTTTGCTGTAAGTAGAAATATTAATTTTGCATTTATGCTTGTATTCTATTCATGACTTGCGGAATATAAAAAAAAAATAAAAAAATCTGATTATATAAACTATAACAAAATAAACATCTCAGGACTTAATCATTTAGTGCTGAGCTGACATAGCATATTTGGTTTTCCGCTTAAAGCCATTTGATTTTTTTTCCCCAGTATTTTAGAAAACAATGTATTAGGTAATAATACATAATATTAGGTACGTGCAATTCTATTGATTTTTTTTTCATTGAAATCACAGGATAACAGCTGTTGAACCTAGTTCAGTATTTCATTAACATTCTGTTTTTCAAAGTGATGTTTCATTTGTTTCAAATGAGATCCTACCTATAATACCTTATTCATAAAAAAGGTCTGCAGATGTGGCTATGTTATTCTTTTAATTTTGTCACTTTGGAAAAAATTCTGATGAGTTACTATATTCTGTTCTTTAACAATAATGCAGAATACACAGATGAGAGCTGCTGTTAGGTAGAAATAATGACGTTGCCACTCAGGATGGTGACATTTTTGCGTGTGGTATGTCCCTATGTGGAAGATCCCTTCCAATCCCTAACATTCTGTGATATCAGCTTGGACAGGGGTGGCCTGATTTTGGACTGATTGGTTATGTTCTGTGGAGGAAATACTACAGTTTGGTTTGAAGTTACTGAAGTGTCACATCAAGCAGATGTAAATACATGATTGTTAGCTCTTTATATTACATTATTTAAAATTTGCTTTTTATTGCAGAGCCAGATTACATTAATGGATATGCCAGTATTTAAAGCTATACAGCCTGAGGTAGGTTTTTTTGTTTTTTTTTTTTTTTTTAACTGTTTGCATCTTTGGAATTTCAGTACCTGTGGTTATGTAACCATGTAATTAAGGGTGTTTCATTCTAAAATGCTCAACTTCTTGCAGTTCACTAATACTCTTCTAGGCTTGTTCCTTGTTAGCACTGTGAGTCTGTAACTGAGCCTGATTTACTTTGATTTGCCAGATGCCTTAAAAGGAGATGACTGTGCTTTTCTGCAAGTCTTTATGTCCTGCTTTGTGCAAGAGTTTATTCTGGATAAATATATAACGTGTGAAAAGTGACTGCTCTCTTTTCTGCTCCCATCAGTTCACATTAGATTTCAGTGCTTGACTTATGCCTCTAGTTATAACCTGTATTTTAGGCTGCATCAGCCATTCATTTTCATTGAACTGGTGCCTTGGATTGGTTTTAGTAAAATGTGATAGATGCTTTTATCAATTCTTTTATATTTTTATTGTTTTTAAACATTACTGACTTTGGATGCAATTTTTGATGTTTTTCCTAGGAGTTAGCCAGCTGTGGGTGGAATAAGAAAGAAAAACATATCCTCGCTCCAAATATTGTTGCCTTCACTAGGAGGTTTAACCAGGTAAATGATTTGATGAATGTGTTGAACAGGTACTGTTGTTTTTAAGTACAAAGTGAAATAGAACTACTCCTATGAATATATTTATAAATTAGAATTAAGATTTTTAAATGACAGTTCTTCTCAGTTGCTTTATCCACATTTTTTTCTGTTGTACCACTACACTGTAAGTTCCTAACAATTTTTGCTGGTGTCATTGTAGAAAATTAGCAATTCTTTTCCTTCTTTTTCTGTGTTCCATCTGTTTCTACAGTTATTTTAGTGTCACCTCACTTCTGTACTTACTACTTATGTCAGTGCTAATGCTTTGGGGTAATATTCAAATGAAAACTTAGGGGATCAGACCTCTTTTATTTTCCTACTCTGTTTTTTCCATTGAACATCATGAAACTATTTAATCATGTTTGTTGTTTTTTTTTTGTAAATAAATTCAGTTGCATCTCTTTACTTTATAGGTCAGTTTTTGGGTTGTACGAGAAATATTAACAACACAGACCTTAAAAATAAGGGCAGAAATACTGAGCCATTTTGTGAAAATTGCTAAAGTAAGTGCATATTTATTGTACTGTCATTTAAAATGTTATTTCCTTTTATTTGCTTCTACACTACTCCTATGAACCATCTTTGGATTACATAGGGTAACATTCTGGGTATTTTTAGTACATCTGCTATGTTGTACGACATGAATAAGACAAAGCTATGGTATCAATTATTTCTATTTTGTTTAAAAACAAAACAACAACAAAAAAACACATACCCAGTTCATTGTGAATTATCTTGCATTTTTGCATAACAAAGTTAAAAACGGTTTCTTGTTGCCGGCCAACTACATGTAGCCAATGCTGAACATGGTTGTAAACTGTTCTGTTTTCTCTCCCCCCATTCAAATGTATGTTTTTATGAGAAGAAATCTTGCTTCCAAAACAGCTATTGTGTGACCTCATTACTATTTGTAAAATAGAGTTGTTCAGAGTTATAAATCATAGAAAAACATATAATCATAGAAAACAACTCACAGTTTGAGAACTATTCTTGTCATTCTTAACATTTAAAAATATATATATTTATTTTAAGAAGTATTTTTCTGTTTCGTGACCTATGCTTATTCTGTTGTGTATGAATACTCTGAGACTTTCTGATATTAGTAAGAAGATGGCAGATAGATCAAAGACCTGAGTACTAATCTTGTGTATGTGAAATAGCTTGTGAGTGGTGGTGGTGGGATATGTAGATTAGAATAATATTTTCCATTTAATACAAAACCAATTTTTCTTGTATTATGAGTATTTTCAGTGAGTTTACATAGCAGTTTTGTGCTTATGCAGAAGAGAATGTACCTAAACAAGTTCCTGGCACAAATTCATAGTCCAAGTACTAGGAGATTGGTCAACTTGGAGACACTGGGTTATTCTTAGAGGAGTTTTCATATCCTTTGCAAAATGAAAAGCACTGCCCTCTTATTTTTCTTTCTTCTCCCTCGGTAGAATCACGAACCTTCCTCAGATGCTCCTGAGCAATGAATCCATCCATCATTCAAGGACGAATTTTACATCCAGCCTCTTTCTAAAATTTACAAACTGCATGGGCAGCAGTTTTCATTTTACTATATTCTGGACCTATAGGAAAATTTAACTAAGCCAACCTTTTCTTTTTTTTTTTTTTTTTTCCAGAAGCTTCTAGACCTCAATAACCTTCATTCTCTTATGTCTGTGGTGTCAGCACTGCAAAGCGCACCTATCTTCAGACTGACCAAAACCTGGGCTGTAAGTTATCCCTTGACCATTGTCTCTTCTTTCTCGTTTGAATTCTGAGGCTTTCTTAATTTTCAGTATTGACGAATTATGTGCCCTGGGAGATGATTCTTTACATTCTTGCTGTTGAGGCACTGTCACAACAGCAGTAGTAATTTGGTATGTGGCTTTTGAAAGCAGAGATTAAATGACTGCATATCTTTTAAACAATCTGCTTTCCTGAAAAAGTTTCCTGTTTTCCTGTCTGTTTGAGAAGCTACTAATTATACACTTGAGAGGACTTCAGTTGATAAATAATCTCAGCAGGCCCTTGCACGAGAGTGTATCTCAGTATCCCATTATCCAAATCATTGTGTCATTAATATATTGGGTAATAGGAGAGGGAAAAAAAGATATTACTAGTCTAGAAACATTAATTCTGTGATTATTGTACAGTGTGTTTCAATTTTTCATTTATATTGGAAATGCAAAGCATTATTAATTTCATCTTCAGAAATTCAATCCCTTGATGGCAGAATTTATCACTTAAATTTACCACGTTTTTACTGTTTCTAGAAAGTAGAAAACACAATTACAATGTAGTTGTACTGTATGTAATACTTAAATATACAGAGGCTTAGGTAATTCTCAATTTCAAATTTCACTCAACATGGACCACATGAACTGTTTGAAACTTATTCATAAAGATGGCTATACTTAACTTTCACCCAAGTTCATTATCATGCCTTAAAATGCCAAATTTTTTATGGTTTGGATGCTCAGAATTAGGATCTAGTCTAATGAAAATATTTGTGCCTGCTGTTCTGAGCAGCTTGATAAAGTTTGAACTTAAACAGGGAAAATCACTCATATGAAATCAAGCGTGTGAATAATTAATTTCAGGACTAAGACCTAAATAAATTTTAAGAAGTCATGTAACAAAATGTAGTGTATTGCACTTACTACAATGATAGTTGAGAGCAACTACTAATGTATTTCAGGAACTTAATTTGACATTAAAAAAGCAATACTAAAATATGACGTGCAGAGTTTAATTTAGAATTCTAAACATTACTCTGTAACTTTAAATGTGTAGAACATTTCCATACAAAATGAGAAACGTTTTTCTAAATATTATTACTGATCCTTTAAAAAGCTACTGCCTTTTAAGTGGTTTTTGCTGCAGCTCTCAAAATGTTTATTTCACTACCATAAAGATGTTGTTTTCCAAGATTTAGAAACAAAATAACCTTTACTCAATTCTTTTCTAAAGTCTTTGGTGATATAGAACCCACAGGAATTATTTTTATTTCAGCTACAAAAGGTAAAATTACACAATGACACAGTTCATCAGCTTGAAAATTGTATTTGCTTTTTATTAAACTGTTCATTAAATTGTTTTAAATGCAAACCCAGGTGATACCCACTTGGATCAATATCATCCATTTGGAGACAGCCCCTGTCCCAAATCTAAGACTTTATAGTCACCAGTAGTTATAAAGTACAATACAATGCAGAGTTAGAACTCAAATTCAATAAGATTTTTAGCAATTCTGGTAAACTATGAAGACACTGTTGACTTCTGAGGAAAAAATGTATGTTAGAAATTTAGTATTGCAGAGGTTATTCAAAACTGTGATGTAGTGATATGTGGATCCTTGATGGTAATCAAAAATAATAACCATATTTGTTCATAACTCAGGGTTTAAGATTTTTTTTTTAATTAACAGGTAGCACTTTTTCAAACATTATGCTGCTTTGGGTGGTAATGAATTGAATTTTAATTTGACTATGCTTTCCTTTACTGTGAATGATTTGAATAAATTAGTATTTGTTGTTGTCTTTATACGGATTCTTCATTTGAAATTTGTATGATATTCTTTTTTTTTCTGCGTAGCTTTTGAATCGCAAAGACAAGGCCACCTTTGAGAAGTTAGACTATTTACTGTCTAAAGAAGATAATTATAAAAGAACACGAGAGTACATCAGAAGCCTAAAAATGGTTCCTACTATTCCATACTTAGGTGAGTGGAAACATTTAGATTATTTATGTGTTGCTCTTTTTGACTGATAACCACTAATATACGATGTTTTGATACTGTGTTTATAAAAAATAGATCTGATGGAGATTTTTAAACTGTATACTGACTAAGATCTGTCTGGCTTGTAGAAGTTTTATGCAATACTAACATCTGGAACTTTGAAGTATGTCTCTGTTTACTGTGTGTTTGAGGTCATCAGAATTTGCAAGAGTGTTGTGTTTCAGAAATGTCTTAGTACAGCATGATATAAGTCCTCATTCCTGTAGCTGTCTTTTTTTTCACTGCACTGTTTTTTAAGATACATAATTTTATCTCTAAGCAGTGGTACTTTTGTGTCAGTTTCACATAAATATGTTGAAAAGAGAAACAAACTGCAAAGTCATTTTACTTGACTGATTTGTCTTTTCAGTAATTCCCTTTTATTCTTCATGTGGACACACTATCATTATTTCCCTAGCACTCTTTCAACTTGCAGTTCTTGCCCGTTATTGAACTGTGCTAGCTTTCCTTAAGAGCACTCTAAAAACACAGATTACTGTTAAACAGAGATGTGCATTGTACTGGAATGTCTTCCCATTGATGTTTTTTTAAAGTAAGAAGTTAATGTAATTTATTTACTTTAAATTAATCTATTTTACCATATAATCTTATATATTTACTTATAACACATATTTAACTATGTGTTTTGAATGCAATTATATATTATAACTGAAACAATCAGGTAATTTACTGTAATTTTTTCTAGTACCCAAGAAAGACAAATATAATTCTTTTTGTACAGCTGTCTATGTACACAAAGCATGGTCCTGGTGAAGTTCTAAACATTCAACAAATATAACTTCCAGAAAAAAAATGTGTTTAAAAAAATCAAACTACATCTGAAATTGCCATGCATTATTGATTTGTGCTGGATATCTGTGATGGTAAAATTTTATGATCAACAAAATGCACCATAAAGAAATGTCTTAAATATTTTTAAACTATTGGTATAACCATGAACTCCACTTCTAATGCAAATTTTTCCTCATCTAACATCATTCTGCCTTTGTGCTTTAGCCTCACAAACTCCACAGAATCAAATTTAAAGTAGGTCTTTCCCTAGAGTATTATTTTTCCATTACTATTATTCATGACACAGGAATTTCAGTTAATGATCTACAGTTACAGATACATGTGAAAAAGAAAACTCAAGTATTCTAATAATGATACATGATAGTTCTTAGAGAGCCATGTTGTATTCAGACAAGGCTTGTCATGATTCTAGTGCTTCTTAACCAACATGAGCAAATAAATACAGCCCTCTGAAGTGCTGTGAGTATAAGGAAAGTTGTATTTACTTTTCCATACACTTTATTTATAGTCTCAAAGTATTCAAGGGACTACAGAAAATAAACTTGTGGATGATATGTAAGAACTCAAAATAGCTTGCAGTAGGATTTTTTTTTTGTTTGGTGTTTTTTTGTTGTTTTTTTTTTTTTTTGAATCTTCATTCCTTCATTTTTTTCTGTGTTGGTTTAGTATATATGCTTTGGAATAAATCCATTATGCCTGATATTGTGTTTATTTTAAATTAAAAAAAAAAACAAGGGGGGTATTGATTTCCACCCCATCCCAAAATCAAGAGGTATAGATCCACAAAGAAAAGATCCTTTCCAAATTGCCATTTGCAGTGGTACTTTTGTTCTTACCAACAGACTGTTAGAGAAGAAAACATGCACCAAGCATGTTTTTATTTAATAAATATGTGGTCATGGACAGCCTGACTTAAAAGCTGAAAGGACAGTTATTTAGGTTAGGACTTAGAGGAGATGAACAATTGCTGGGAATATTTTGGTGTATTGTATTTATAAAGAAGACTTGTATAAGTTCAGGTCTTTAAAATATTAATGCTTTCATGTAATATTTCTATTTAGCCATCCTGACAGTCTATCAAGCTATCTTCATCTTTCTTTGATGACGGAAAGAACTTTGAATTCATATGTGATTTCATCTTAGTTCAAGTTATAATCATAAAACGCTGCCTGTTTGTACAAACCTTCTCTTCCAGATCTATTTGTGTATTCCTTTTTTTTCTAAGCTTTTTTTTTTTTTTCATAGATCCAAAAAGTTTATGTATTGGGTATTTGACTACAACAAAGCAGAACTCTGTAAAGACGTATTATCTTCTTCAGGCATATAGTTTAACAGCCTTCTGTCTCAAAGTAGGATGACTAAGTATTTTTGAGAACCTGCCTAAATAATGCTTTTACTCATAATTTTTGTGCTCTACTATCCAGAAGCGTTACATTATCTATTAGCTCAAGAAAGAGTACAAATAGTATTTAAAAGTAAGACCTTCAAATACAAATGACAGAACGTTGTTTCGTCTAATTTACAGGTTTTGAAAAATCTGTTCAATTTGCATTACCAAACAGAACATTTGGAAAAATTAATTAATACCTTGAGAGCAATACTTTGATCACTTCTGTACTCAAGAAAAGAGAAGCCATACACATACATACTTTCAGAGTGAGAGTTTCCCTTGGGTGCTAAATATATCCATGTGCAGTTGAACTAGAAAACTTGTTAAAAAGGAGGCCTCCAGTTAAAATGTTGTCCAGTGTTGATCACTTCCTTTTCTTTTGTGACATGCAAAGCAGCCATTTGACCAACTGGTTGCTTATCAGTATTTCATCTGGTAATTTTTCTGAGCACACAGGTTGTTGTTAATGAATGTAGTCCAAGTAGCTTTGAGACTTCGTGTGCTATCTGGCTTGCTGAGTCTCAACAGGAAGCACCAGGCCTACCCTCCTGTAAGTAAGGCATTTGTGACTTTAAGGCTTACCAATGAAAAAAGTGAGGCTTTGTTTCTGTTAAATACTTTCACTTTGGTACTAATACGGTAAACAAAGAACTACAGAAATAGTGAAATGTTTTCAAATAGGACACCCAAAAGTGTATCCACAGATTATGTACGCTTGTTACACTGTGTTTTTCGTAGAAAAACGTTCTGATTCAGATTCAATTAAATTCGAAAAAGTAATCAGAATTCAGAAACGATTCAGAAAATGCTGAGTTGTGCAGGAACTTTGTGTGCTATATTTTATGAAGAAACTATGTTACATTAAAACAGATAATAGTTCTTTATATGATTATTTTTATATAATTATTTTATTATATAAATTATAATATTATATAATTTAGGATGATACTAAGCTGGAACTTAAAAGGGTTTATATTTATAAATCATTGCACATGGATAACTAGAGCACAAGAATTCTTTATAGACTTCCTGTGCCAGTATTAATGTGTTTGTATTAGTTACCCTCAATGGGTTTATCTGCTCTATTTAGAAATCTGTAAACTCTTTGCATCCACAGTACTCAGGTAGGAAGGATTTCCTCAGCTTTGTCCTGTACCACGTGGTTTTGCTTGATTTGAACATGGTCTTTATCTTCACTAGATAAACCTTTCTTTATGCCCTTGCTTCAGGCTACTCATGACATTATAGGCTTTGGTTGTTACCTCTGTTGTCAGTTGATGTATCTGAGCATCCGTCACAACCTTCTCCGGCAGTGTTTCAGTTCTGTATCACTTCTGAGGGGGAGATGGTGCACGTTGGCTGCAAACAGTGTTAAGATAAAGTGCACCTTAGGTTTATACAGTGACTTCTGAAAGTTTTTGGTGTTCTACTTAATTCCTAACAATGTTAGCTCAATGTTTAGTAGCAATTAGAAAGGCAAGTTGTTTTCAGGAACTATTTATTGTTATCCCAAGATCTTTCCTTTTATTGGCAATTACATGCTCTTTTCATTTCATATGGAAAGTCAGGAGTTTTTTCCCCTGAATCCGTCTGTCTTGTATATTTTTGTCTGCTGTCTCATTGTCTAAGCAAGCTGTCTCTTAAATCCTCATGCAGTTCCTCACAGTTGGCCTTTCTGTTGCTAACTTCAATTAGTTAATATCATCAACAGATTTCTGTTTCATCGTTCACCCCCTTTTTCAGGTCACTTATGACAATGTTGAACAGCATGAATACTAGCACAAATTCCTGAGGATAATAGCCAACACTGTTCATGAAGAATATTTTTATTAAATGCATTTGACAGTTGCTCCTTATGGCTATGCTTACAAAATGTGTAGAAAAAATGATATTATTGCAACCTCCATTAAATAATTTGAGGTTTGAAGGAGCATTTAGCCTATCAAAAGAAAGTATTAAAAGGGGAGTGGTTTCAGTGATTATATATTTTCTGGGGGAGGGAGACTGTATTAGGTATGGAAAAGCTTCTCTAATCTGTCTGTTTAAATAAACAAGGAGGCCAAGTAGATGTAGGTTAGAAATAAATAGTGAATTTATAACAGTGAAGGAGAGTGACAAAGTCTCAAAATTTTTAGAGTTCACAACCTTAGGCTACAATATAAGATTAATATATTCCTTACTGTAGTAAGGAATAGTGTATAGTAAATAGGTATATAGTAACAAGAAATATTGTTTAAAGCAACTATGTTAAAATTCCCAACACTTGTTTTTCTTTTCAGACAAATTTTCTAAATTTAAAATAATAATTAAAAAATAACTTGTGGAATCAGCAATGCTGTGGTCTAGGACATTGGAACTGTTTAGTCATGGGTTACTCTAAGAAATAACAGTAGTCATGTTGTTTTGAAAATTCCTGGGTGCAGTGGCTATCTACAGCTTGTTCCTGACATTGTATTTTCTATAACATACAGGTAACAATGTAAAAGATCAAATAAAACAAAGATATGTAAGTTGTGTTGCAACTTAAATTTTTTTCTGATTTTCTTTTTTTTTTTTTTAATCTCTTGGAATATGACAATGGGGATAGAGCTAAAAACTTTGATAATAGAATAGTTTCACGGAAGAACTTGTGTGAAACTTGTGTGTAACAGAGTTGTCTTCTGAAGTAACTTAACTCTTGTGAGCTTTTTCTCTAAATGCTGGAAGGGGAGCCCCACTGTTTAGTATCTGATACAGTGATAAAGTATTAGTTACGGCATTTTCCTTATTGCTCAGAAAAAGGTAAAGATATTTCAAAAAGTTTGAAGAGCAACATTTTTAGGAGGTTTGTAGTTGAAGGTTGAAGTTGAATATTTCTACAGTACTTTTTGAAATGAGTGAGGAATAGAAAAGAATTGAAGCTGTCAAAACTCTTCTCTATTGTACCGCAGTTCTGTCTTTCTGTCTAAAGTCAACTGTTGCGCTTTTGCTAATGACAGGAAAATGTTTTGTATGTGACTTTTAGAAAATGTAGTGTAATCAGAGACGTACTTTGGGGTGCAATGAAACAAGAATGCATTTGAAAGAGTTGGAAGTAATTACAGAAATATGAGGAAAAATGACCTTTCGTGGTGGTGAGATGGTAGATCCTAGTGCAAAGCAATTTCTACTATGTATGTGAATTTGAAAAAAAAAAAAGTGCATTGTGAAATTTTGCAAATCTTTGATTCAGACAGTATACTTGCAAATAACTTGTTTCACTAAATAATCTGTAAATTCCTTATGTATGATTATTTTTGATGTGCCAGCCTTTATCTTAAAAATATAAATAGCATGTTAAATGTTGTGTATTTTTCTACTGGTGGCTTATCTGATCAAGTCTTAGATAAATTATGAAATAATGATATGATCCTTATTGTTGTCTTACTGTGATGGTCCACATTGAGCCAAGCAAAGCTTGAATTTCATGAATAGTGTCTATATAATAACATACACAACTCTTTCCAATGTGTTTAGTTTCTGTAATCCTGTGTCTTTAAAAGATTGCCTACAACATTTGTGGAAAGTATTTCATTATGATGACAATAGGCTTTTTTAATACATGACAGGATCTAACTTATTAGGTACAACCAGACATACTGTTTTTCATTCATTATTCTGCTCCTTCCTTACCTCCTCTTCCCATCCCCAGTTGGCTTGAATGTGTCAGATACTCTGTGAAATTGATTATGCTTTTCTGCAAGTAACCTGAACTAAAACAGGATGAAATCTGAATATTTCAAAATAACGTTTGTTGCTTTATTAAAAGAGTACAATATTACAGGGGTGATCTAATATATTAAAAACCCTACTTTGTTATATACAACACATGCTGCTTCACACACCAGTTTAATGCACATCATACCTTTGTAAAGAATTCATGAGGTAATAAGGGAAAAAGTGTGCAAACAGATGTCCAAACACATTAAGTGTCTTGCAGGCTTACTGAGAAATATATTGAAATTCCAGGGGTTTTTGCTTTCCCTCCTTCTTACATGCATTCTTTAACTTACATTTTTCATGGTAATTTCCATTTTGAAAGGTGTGTTAATAACAGTCTGTTCTAGAAACCTACCATGGAAGAATATTAGAATTATGCCAGTCAGTATGTCATAGTTGTGACTAAACTCTAATTATAGATGAGTAAAATGTTATAATAATTTGACAATAATATAATTGTGAAATACGGCAAATAATAACTGTTTTTGGCTATAGGTAGCTTCTTTATATAATTTTCGCCTATTGGCTAAGAATATTTAATAGCTTATATAGTGGTATCCATCATTTGCCTGCAAAGTTGGATAGTCCCTTTAATTTATATCCAGCCATTTCTGACTAGAGAGCCTACACAGCAGGTAATGACTGAAGTCAGGTACAAAATATAGTATAATATGACACGTTGGCTATACAGTATCCATAGTAAATCTGGGTTTATTTCCCTGTGCAGGTAGCTAGTTCATTCTGATTAGAAAAATGATTAAAGTTTTCCATCTAAAACGTTTTAATCAAATGCCAATTCTAACTTGTAGGAACTGATTACTAAAATGCTCAAAGTAAATAGGAAAGACTGAATTTATTATGACAGTAATGGTTTGCGCATCTGTTCACAAACTCAAGTTATATAGTATTAATTTTATTCATGTCAGTTAACAAAGATTAAATTAAAATAACCATACTAATATACCAGATACCTAGTTCAAAGGATGATTTCCTGTGTCTAGTGATTGCTTATAATAATAATAGAACTCTTGCTGTACAGTTTGTAATATTTCCTGTATTTGAGAATATTTATATATAATATAACATCCAAAAATATTTAAATGTTGTGGCAGTATTTTTACCATCCAAACTTAATTTACAGGGAATAAAAAACAGAAAATGTATCTACAATCCATTTCAATTGTCAGTTGTAAATGGCTTAATATAACTACTTCTAGTACAGAGAAGCGTTCTGAATGTTATGTTGTTTTGGTGTTGTTGTTTTTTACTTCAGCTTTTCTTTCCCTGGAATGATTCTTGAAAATAAAATATACAAGCCCTCACATCTTAGCAATAAATTTACAGTATCTTACATTCCTCATTTCTGAAATAATTCCAGGTGCTAACAGTATAGTTATACATCCTTTTTTAGATCAAGAAAGGGGAAAAAAAAAAGAGAGAGAGAAAAATTATCTCAGTGGAATGTGTTGGGATTAGGTCTTATCATCATAACAACTTTCTTTAGTGAATATGATCCCCCCCGGAATTCAGCCCAGTAAACACCATCCTGATACCGGCTGCGGTAATGTCCTCCACGATACCAAACTCCATTGAGATTTGAATGAGCACATGCATTGTACCACCATCCTCCCTTTTGGTAATGAGCACAATTACCTGTAAAAGAAAGCTACGATTCAGTCTTAGGAAAAATTTTAAAATCTTAAAGCACGCAAACAAGCCTAGCACAAAATGTACTTTTAACTGTGTATTTAATTTGTAGGTACTGTGCAGTGCAAGGTGCTGCTTCTTCAAGAACCAAGTCTTAAGTTCTACAAATGGACTCATTAATGCTACTATGCTTTGATGGAAAATCTGGTTGCATTATTGTCTCAAATAACCTTAATGTATGTTACAGAGCTGCATTTAATGTAACTAATAAATATTTCAGTGAGAGTGAGAATTTTTAATTCAGTTAGTACATATAAGGGTTGACACATCAGTTTGTATTTCATAAGTTACTAATTGACAACTCTAAAATACAATTTCATTTTTATTTTTTTGTCTACAGCTGTACTTTTTTATTTAAGAAAACAAAACAAACAAGCAAAAAAAAACCAACGAAGGCAAGGAAACCAAAAGGGGGCCTTTTGTACCTGTGTATACATCGTGGTCCCGGTCCAGTGTGGTGAACTGTTTACCATTGTGCCAAGTGAAAGAATCTCCTGCATTTCCATTGTAGCGTCCCAATCTCAACTTGTAATACTCACTTTCTGGCTCTAGTCTGAAACTAGCATACTCAGCAAATACTTTCCGACCTGACCAGTCTTCCATTGTTATGAGCAGTTTGTAGTTGCCTTGATTTGTTAGCCAATAAATATTTTCTAAACCAAGCCAGTATTCTCCATCTATATTACCAAATCCTTGCTGCAAAGGAAGCAAGAGAAGGGCGTTAATACTGTGCATATGTTTTAATGGTAAATCTGAGTGTATTCTTAAGTGGAAAACAAGTTCCTTTTTAAGAAATCTATTGTGAAAACTCTAAAATTATCTTTTAAATTAACTTTACCATTAATTTTTAGAGGGTGGAAAACAAACTGCTCACTTGTCCTAACCTTGTATGTCTCCCAGTTCCTGAAAAAGTTGACAGACCCATCCAGTCTTCTCTGAATGACTGTCCAGCCACCAGGGTCATGCCGTTGATCACACCAGACCTGCATAAGTCGGTTTGTGTTTTCTGGTTTTACAAGATAGATAGAGCTTGTATCATGGCCATCTTCTAATGCTTGTAGGCAATCTCTCCAGGGCCCTGTGTCAAAACAGAAGGACTCTGCAGTCAAAATGCAACTGAGTATAACTTTAATGCGGAGCAGTGTTTGAATGGGTAGCATGTTTTCACACTTTACACAGTATGTTTGCTTCAGCTGAATAGTGCATTTCTTTTTTCTCCTATTGAAGCTTTAGTGTCCACTCAGTGTTTGCAAACAGATTACTTTGCTGTAACTTTTTTTTTCTGGAACACTTCACAATGAAATAATGATATGGGTAGATTTTCGTTTAAGGCTACTGAAGTCTAATAACATTGGTCATATTTTCAAAGAAACTAAAAAGGAATTACTCTGTAGATATATATTATTATCATTCTGTTTTCTAAAGGAAAATAACTTTGACTTTATTTCCGTCTTGGAGATTTTGAGCTTTTTAAATCGCCAAAAATGTAATGAAAATAAACAGTGGAATCAGCAACATAAAACATGAATGTAGGTTACTGCTGTCACTCTAATAAATGATAATACACTAAACAAAATTAAAAAATCAGATTCATAACATGGAATGTGCACTTATACAGTGAGAGATTTTTAGATAAATGAGATGATTTAAAATACTTTAAAATACTTCGCATTCATGGAAGTTAAGATAGTGCTCTTTCCCATTTTCAGGAGAATAGATTTTTTTGTTTCCCTGAATTTAGTAGACTCTTTATAGAGCATTGTCGTTTTGAAAGTGTCTTTTGTTCATTATTTTATTCCTGTGGGGAGATAGATTCCATGTTAACAAGTATGAGAAATTTAGATACGAACAATTCATTAGTCTGTGATGATAACTGCACTTAGAAACTTCTAGATGCTTTGCTACTATGCTCATACCTGACAAGCAGTCAACAAAGAATCCTCAGGGTTAGAGACCCTTGTTTTCCATGCTGAAGGAGGAAGGCTTGTCAGATCTTCTGTCAACAGTCATACTGAAGCATGTATTGCTATTAAGAGTAACCTCTTTTAAATTAATTCAGTTCCTTTACCCTTTTTCATAATCCAGTGTCCAACAATGGAAGTAGTAGAGCTAGCCTTACACTTAGTAAATGAAGTAGTAATAAATGTTTCATAGGAAAAATTTTGGTGTTTGGGGAGCTGGTTTGTTGTTTGTTTGGTTGTTGTTTTTTGTTTGTTGGTTTGTTTTTGTCTTTTTAACTGGCTAATAAAACATCAGTGCACCAGGAGGCAATCCATTTCTTTGGTGTGTGGTATTGCTGTGTTCTTGTTTCCTCAGTCATATTCACAGAATGCAATTAGGGTGCTGCTGCTAAGCCCATTTTCTAATTCTGTTGTACCCAACTGTTCAGATTTCTGGAAGTGCAAATGTAGATAGAGTATTCTGTGACACAGTTGGATGGTTTTATTGTGAGTGGTGGAAAGAGATAGAGGTAATGAATGATGGTAATTTAAATTGCTCTTGTTTATTTTATCACAACGTGTATGTAGTGGCCCATATTAAAAAGAGCAACTGTAGTAGTATTTTGAATTCTGTAGCTGTATAATTACTTACATACTTTTTTTTTTTTTCCGGGGGCTTATTGTGGCCCATCTCTTCCAGTGGCTTCTTTTACAGGATCTTAATTTTTTTTCACTATATTTTTAAGAACATGTGACATGAATGTGTGTTCAAATGATTGTTATCTAAAAGAGATTGGAATACTTAAAATACTCTACAATTGGAAATCACAATACTTTGATAAATAGTTTTGTCACTTATTAAACTGTCTGAGATATCTACAGTATTTGGACCCTCATTTCATGCATCTTGATGGAAGAACATCTTCAGCATGCTTTTCTTTTTTCCAAGTTGTGATATAATCACAACTAAAACGAGACCTCTTTAACATCTTCATCAATGATCTGGATGACGGCATTGAGTGCACCCTCAGTAAGTTTGCAGATGACACCAAGCTAGGTGCGTGTGTCGATCTGCTCGAGGGTAGGAAGGCTCTGCAGGAGGATCTGGATAGGCTGCACCGATGGGCTGAGGTCAACTGCATGAAGTTCAACAAGGCCAAGTGCCGGGTCCTGCACCTGGGGCGCAATAACCCCAAGCAGAACTACAGGCTGGGAGAGGAATGGTTGGAGAGCTGCCAGGCAGAGAAGGACCTGGGAGTGATGGTGGACAGTCGGCTGAATATGAGCCAGCAGTGTGCTCAGGTGGCCAAGAAGGCCAACGGCATCCTGGCTTGTATCAGAAACACTGTGACCAGCAGGGCTAGGGAGGTGATCGTCCCCCTGTACTCGGCTCTGGTGAGGCCGCACCTCGAGTACTGTGTTCAGTTTTGGGCCCCTCACTACAAGAAGGACATCGAGGTGCTTGAGCGGGTCCAAAGAAGGGCGACGAAGCTGGTGAGGGGCCTGGAGAGCAAGTCCTATGAGGAGCGGCTGAAGGAGCTGGGCTTGTTCAGCCTAGAGAAGAGGAGGCTCAGGGGTGACCTTATTGCTCTGTATAAGTTCATTAAAGGAGGCTGTAGCGAGGTGGGGGTTGGCCTGTTCTCCCACGTGCCTGGTGACAGGACGAGGGGGAATGGGCTAAAGTTACGCCAGGGGAGTTTTAGGTTAGATGTTAGGAAGAATTTCTTTACTGAAAGGGTTGTTAGGCACTGGAACGGGCTGCCCAGGGAGGTGGTGGAGTCACCATCCCTGGAAGTCTTCAAAAGACGTTTAGATGTAGAGCTTAGGGATATGGTTTAGTGGGGACTGTTAGTGTTAGGTTAGAGGTTGGACTCGATGATCTTGAGGTCTCTTCCAACCTAGAGATTCTGTGATTCTGTGAGAAGAAATGTAGTATGTGCCACTATCCAACTATCCATCGCTTTATTCTTCTATCTGTACTGTATAGTTTGTGTCTATGCATACTGACATTCCACATGCAAAATTACACTTATGTCCTCTAACTTCATTGCATTTTTTATTTTATAAGTATTTTCTGCATATTCTGTATGTTTTTACCAAATACTTGCACTTGCTTTTCCTTCTAATTAACCTTTCTACCTTATTTGTAAGTTATCGTAGTAATGAAAGCAATTCAGTTAAACCAAAATAATGAATATTAGCAGATTTATTATGAGAATGATTAACAAAAACATTACAGTACATAGCTGTCTATAGGAATTCTCAGATCTTATGTTCCACTTGTCAGTTCTAGCCTCGAAAATAAATGCCACGTTGTCTGTAGATTTTTATTGTATGGCAATGTAAGCTTCTTGCTAACTATTTTGAATTACCTACTTCTAACTATCTCTCTATCTGTTGGGAATAGAATGTATCAGATAATATAACAAGGTTTTGGAATTTGTTGGTAACAGCTTTTTGATAAATGCATAAAATGGAGAAACAGACAAAATAGAGTGCAAGCCATATTAAGTTTAAACCTAGCAAGTAGGGACGAACTGGCAGAAAATCTGAAATAGAAAGCACTGTGGGCAATCTTTTGAGTGTGAAATAATGGAATCTGCAATTCTTAAGAAAGAAAAGAAAGCAAAACAAAGAAAATGAGCTCACATATAACAGACTTAAGCAAATTCAGAGAGCGAGAAAATCCTTTAGAAAAATTAGTCCAACAAAAGAGTTTAGAAGTTCATTAAAGAGTGTCTCTTGAGAACACTACAGTGGATTTTGCTACTGTATAAGGCTAGGAAAAATAGTAAGAAATTGACCTGGCTAGATCATGAATTTTCCAGTAGCTTTAAAAATCTGAAGGAAGCTCAGACAAAATAGTTGCTAGGTCAAGGTACAAGGAATGACCCTTTGTTGCTTTTGTTCTTAAATAATTAAAGACTACAACAGTATTAAGTCCAAGATAACAGAAAACATTGACTTACTATTTTATGATGAAGACTATCTGTCAACAGATTAAAATAAGATGCCATGTAATACTGTTATTCTATTTTGCTTCAATTTTTATTTTTGAATAGGTCAGGTGTGGTTAGATGGTTAGTACAATTAGGAGCTTTGGCAAATTTTAGAACTTTAGGCACAGTATAGAAAGGATTGGATACAATGTACATGGATTTTCTTTCAGTGGCTGGACAGCTGTGGCAGGTTGTTTCGTGGGTTGTTGTCCACAGTTGTATTTTTTTCCTTCTTTTTCCCTAATTCATTCTAGACATCAGTAGAGCCCCGCAGGGTGTAAGAGAGGATGGCGAGGGCTGGCTGCGAGGCTGCCAGGGCAGGAGTTGGACTTGATGATCCTTATGGGTCCTTTCCAACTCAGGATATTCTATGATTCTAATTGTGGGGAGGGGCTTTGAGATATGTTTGGAGAACAGAGAACATCCTGGATGATGAGGAAGAGGTATTTTATGTTCCTTGCCTACAGAAAAGGTGAGAGAGGAAAGGAGTAGAGAAGGATATCCTGGAAATGAAAGACTGAGTAGCTTAACTTCAGTAGATGGGCATTTCCTTGAACAAATCAAACTGTTGTAAACTAAAAAATGAGAGAAATGTTTGTGTGGATTTGTACAGAACAAACATGAAATTTCTTTTTCTGATAAGTTACGTAGACAAGGGGAAAATAGCATATGTCATAGATAAGGGAAAAAAAAATAGCACATGTCAAATCAAATTGGGAATGGACCTCTGGAGACCAAAATGAAAGATGGCTAGAAAAGCAGTACTGCCTCAGGCGAGGATCATGGGGTTCTATAGTACTGCAAGTTGATTGTGAGTCAATAACATTTCACTTTGCAAAAAAGGAAAATGCTATGTGAAGATAGAAGAATAGAAGAGTTACTTCATATGCATAGTACCTTTGTCGTTCTATGTGATAGTAAAACCAGTTTGAGTACTTAAAAGCACAAGCAGAATGTGAATGAGTTTTCAATAGATTTTAACAGGTCAGGTAAAGTCTGAAAAGAATGTTTGAAGGATAGATATTCCACTTCCAGAAAGTTAGAAAAATTATAATACTGTTCTTCCATATATTAAAAAGAAATAGATGCTTTTCTATGTCTGCTGTCCATAGGATGAATAGTTGTAGACTTAAGATACAGCAAGGGAATTTGTTTTTCCCTGATGAATTGTCTAATCTGGCAGTAAACTCAGCTGGGATTGGAAATATATCATGTAGCAAGGTTGTAAATCTCCATTATTAAGATTATACATAAATGGATTGGAGATGCATCTGTCAGAAATGAAAACTTTCTGCTTTGTGGGAAAAGCCAAATATCATCTTCAGATTCATTTCAGCCAGATTTTATTTTAATAATCTTCTGTACTTCTCCCTTCGTATTTCTGTCACTGACTCAAAAGATGGACTTCTGTTAAATTTGTGGATAATAGATCCAGAAAAGCAAATAATAAACTTTTGGAAAATAATGAGGAAATCAATGAGAATGTTACATGAAAGAGAATTATATAGCAACTCTCACCAGCCCTAGAACACCTTACCAGAAAATACTGGGCTAAGTCGACAGATAATAGAATCATAGAATCATTAAGGTTGGAAAAGACCTTCGAGATCATCTGATCCAACCAGACCCCTATCATCAGTATCACCCACTAGACCACCTCCCTAAACACCATGTCCAACTTTTCCTTAAATACCCCCAGGGGCAGTGACACCTCCCTGCCAGCCTGTTCCAATGTCTGACTACTCTTTCTGGAAATTAGAACATGTTTCTTCTCAACCTAAACCTCCCCTGGTACAACTTGAGGCCCTTCCCTCTTTTCCTAATCATTAAAGTGACTATCCTATCATAGAATCATAGAATGGCTTGGGTTGGAAGGAACCTTTAAGATCATCTAGTTCCAACAACCTGCCATAGACAGGGATGCCACCCACTAGATCAGGTTGCCCAGGGCCTTGTTGAACTCGCTCGTGAAAACCTCTGGCGTGGGAGGTCTGCAGATTCTCTGGGCAACCTGTTCCAGTACCTCACCAGCCTCCAAGTGAAGAATTTCCTCCTAACCTCTGATCTAAATCTTCCCTGTTTCAGTTTCAAAGCATTCCCCCTTGTCCTGTCATTGCCTGAGCAAAAAGTTGCTCTCCAACTTTTTCATAAGCCCCCTTAAAGAATTGAAAAGCTGCAGTAAGGTCACCCCGGAGCCTTCTCTTCTTTCGGCTGAACAGCCCCAGCTCTCTCAGCCTTTCTTCATAGGGGAGGTGCTCCAGCCCTCTGCTCAACTTTGTGGCCGTCCTCTGGACTCGTTCTAACAGCTCCACATCCTTCCCATGCTGCAGGCCCCAGACCTGGACGCAGTACTCCAAGTGGGGCCGTAGAAGGGCAGAGTAGAGGGGGGACAATCCCCTCCCTTAACCTGCTGGCCATCCCTCTGTTGATGCAGCCCAGGATGCAGTTGGCCTTCTGGCCTGCAAGTGCACACTGCTGGCTCATGTCAAGCTTTTTGGCCACCAGAACCCTCAAGTCCTTCTCTGCAGGGCTGCTCTCAATGAGTTCTCCCAGTCTGTCCTCATGTCAGGGGTTGGCCCCACTCAGGTGCAGCACCTTGCACTTAGACTTGTTGAACTTCATTTAGGTTAATGTGGGCCCACTTTTCTAGCTTGTCCAGGTCCCTTTGGATGGCATCCCTTCCTTCTGTTGTATCAACTGCACCACTCAGCTTAGTGTCATCTGCAAACTTGCCAAATGTGCAATTGATCCAGTTGCCTATATCATTGATAAATATATTAAAAAGTACCAGTCACAAGGGCAGTACTCTCCTGATATATCCTCTACTGTATCAATTCAAATAAATTATAGTAGATGTGTTTTTCTCCTTTTTTTTTTTTTTTTTACATAGTGAAAATTCCATGATTCATGATTCTAATGTTCTGTGGTTCTGTACTGGGTCTGGCTGCGATCAATTTAACTTCACCCACGGCAGCCCACACAGTGCTGTGCTCTCCACATGTTGCTGGAACTGACTTGGTATCACACCACACACACCCTCCAAAATCCAGTAGACTGAGGGTGGGCAAGAGGTGGGGAGGGGTCATCACCAGGGCAACTGACCTAAACTGTCCAAAGGGATATTCAATGCTATATGATGTCACGCTTAGCAATAAAAGCTGGGGAAGCAGGAGAAAGGGAGGCTCTTGTTATGGAAATGTCTGTCTTCTCAAACAACTGCTATGTGTATTGAGGCCCTGCTTCCCCAGGCTGTGGCTGAACATTGTTTGCTGCTGGGAAGAAGAGAATAATTGTTTCTCCTTTTGGTTCTGTGTGGCCTTTGCTTTTGTTTCATTAAACAGCACCTATATCAAACCCAAGCTTTTCTTTCCTCCATCTCATGTTCTTCACCTAGCCCTGCTGATGAGGGGGAGTGAGAGCAGTTGAGTGGTAACTAGCTGCCCATCGGAGTTAGACAACAATAGGTTTTGCGTGACACAGTGCAAGCTATGGCCAGTTCATCTTTGGCAGTGTTGTAAACTGACTACTTTGTAGGAAAGTCAGGTTGAGATTTTCTGTGGACTGAAACACCTCCTCGAGTTTCTTTCGTTGGGAAAATTTCCACGGAGAAATAAGTTATGTGTTTGTGTTTTTATTTTATTTATTTATTTAACGGCAATTACTATATTTGATAAATCTAAAGAGTTTGATAGGTTATTTGAAGTAAGTTGCAAATAGCCTTGAAGTATATGCTATGTGCATCTCATGCATTATTTCATGCCTTAGTCTGTGGTATGCCTTTTTTTTCTGAAGCAATTGCATGTTGCTCCAATGCTAAAAATAATTAATAATAATAATAATAATAATAATAATAATAATAATAATAATAAAATACTTCTCTTGTATTCCCAATTCAGGACACATAAAACATGAACTATGTTCTTGAAATATGTGGAACCATAGGTGCAAGTGGATTCTTTACCTGTGATTTACCAATCATCTAGATTAATTGAACTCTGATTTCCAATGCTTTCATTCTTGCTTATGGCAGAACTCTTAAGAGAGTAATAACAGCTATATAATGTTCCATATTATTGTACCACTTGCTTCCCTTTCCTCCTGTCTTAGAGTGCAAGTGCCCTTTGCAAGTACAACACAGATGTATTCCGTTCTGGATTTATACAAGCACAGAAGTTATCACCTGCTAGATTTAAAAACTTATAATAGCTTCATAAATGTTTACACAAAGTGTCAAACCCCTTCAGATGTCATGAATTATAGCAGTTCAATCTTGGGCACAAGTAAGTAATATTTAAATCATTGACTGTCACTTACTAAGAATTTTCTGCAGCTCCTTCGTCTCAAACATTTGGTATAAACTGATTTGTCTTGGTAAAGTAACACAGGAAAAATCCATGGGACTAATGTGTTTAAATCTGTTAGGTATTCAAAATAAATTTTTTTAGCTTTTTTTTTGTTTGTTCTACAACAGGTATATTAAAATTATGTTGACCTCCTCCTCCGAACATGCTATAAGACTTGATTCAGATTGTTGATGTGGGGAGTCTTGTATGGAAGGCTGTTGGGGATTACTGTAGCATTCTTTGACTAATTAATCTTAGCCTGATTACCTTTTTTCCCTGGCGTTGACAAGGCTACTAAAATTTCTTTATATTAAAAACAATAATAAAAATATAATACCCAGGACTTTAACTATTTTCCTTTTTATTTGCTATTCATGTAAAGCAAACTGACTCCATAACCAACATGATAAAAATGTCTGTAAAATCACAGAATCTCAAAACAGCTGTGACTAGAAGTTAAGGACCTAAAACCTTGAGAGCAAGAGTGAACATAACCTCTTCCTATTTTAAGAAAGAATTAAGAGCCAAAGGTTCAGGGACTGTGAGGCTATCTGCATTAAGAACAGATAAAATATTGTTTTCAAATTCTGCTGTTGTCAGTTTTATTCATTCCTGGCCTAAGAAGGTGTTTTAGCTGGAGGTGAAGTTTGAGATAGTTCTAAATTCTGCAAACAAAGACTCAATAACAAGAACTGAAACAACCGTAAAATCAGTGTTTGATACAAAGTCGCTTATTACCATTTCCTGTTCTTAAGGAGAAGGCACAATAAGGTATAAAGGTAAAGATTGTGTTAGAATATAAATTCATTTCATGAGTGGTTCATCCAAAAGTCCCATTTGCTTCACTGGGAGTGTCTCCATTGATTTTCATTGAGATCTAAGAATCTCTATCAGTTAAAAATCATTTATTTTGCTGGATAAATTATTTGCATTTTCTTATATTACGATGTTTCCTACTACTTATTATTAGTGTAGACATATCAATAATATTACTTACCAGATGGTTTGTCAGTTGAAGTTGGAATACTAGTTACTGCAGGCATGGTTGGTAAGGTAGGTGGCAGAACCTTCGGATTCTGATCGCTCTGAATCTCATTAGTAGATATCTGGTTAATCAGGCGATTGTAAGTAGGAGGGTGGTACGCTTTGTTTGGTGGCTGTGGAGTTTGTGGAAGAGGCTTTATGGATGGCATTCTCTGACAGTGTTCTTCTAGCTGGGCAATTATTATTGACTGATTATTTGCAATTGACATCAAATGTTGGTACTTGTACTCTAAGTCTTTGTATTTGTTTGCAAGTTGCAACATGTCTGCAGTTTGGTTCAAAATCTTATTCTCAAGTTGGGAAAGTTCTAAGGCATTGTCCCGTTTCCGGATAATTTCATGTAGTAACTGCATATAGAGTTGTGTGACACGAGAGTTCATATTTCTGCTCTCTTTTCTTAAGAGCTTGACCTCATTAACAATCCCACCATCTACCTCCACCAATTGCTGGAGAGTTTCTATTTGTCTCTTTTGTTTAAGAAGTTCATTGTTAAGTAACTGTAATTCCTGTTTATTTACCCGGTTTTCAAGTAGAACCTCAGGTTCTTTAGAATTGACACAAATGGCACCTGTTACTCTCTGCTGAGGTACAATAAAGGTGTAAGTGCATTTGTCCTGTGTGTCACTGGAACGTTTATATCTGTTCATATAAATGAATTCTTGTTCTTTTTCTTCATCATTGCCTTCAAATTCCTGTGTTTTGCTTGCAGCAGTTCCCACAACAGCTATAAGCATTAAACAGATGAATCTTCTTGTCATCATGATCCTCTATTTATGGTTAAATATTCTTCTTCAAAGAACTTCGTAAAATCTGTTTTAAAATAAATTTAACAGTAAGTAACATATTGGAAATCTGTGCAAGCTTTTTAAAAAAATAAATAAATACAAGATAATCTGTTCTAAAACTGACGATAGAATATTACATAGTATTTAGAATCACAGAATCATAGAAACACAAGGTTGGAAAGGACTTACAAGATCATCTGGTCCAACTGTCATCTTATCACCAATACTACCCACTAAGCTACTAAATCATATCTCACAGTACCTTGTCCAGGCGCTTCTTGAACACTGCAAAGGACAGTGACTCCACCACCTCCCTGGGCAGGCTGTTCCAGTGTCTGAGCACTCTTTGAGAGAGAGTTTTTCCTGATGTCTAATCTAAATTTCTCTAGGTGCAACCTATGGCCATGTAAATTAGCTTGTCTGTGAAAAAAAGAGATAATTTTCTTGTCCCATATGAGCTCATGTCAGCTAAAGAGGGCATCATCTGGAATAACTGTGCTACACTGTGGTCAAAACTGTAGTTAGTAGTTGCCAGATTATCTAAAGTGTGTCAAGAATCCCAAGAAACCATGTAATAAATACCAGTATTTGAAGAGCCCTTCCTACCAGGCAAGTGCCACAAGTTTCCAAAATTTATGATTTTATTTAAACATATTTATATTTTGTATATTTACAAATATAATCCTTAAAAATTAATATCTTTAAAAACAAACAAAATAATACGACAAGCTTATAGGCAACAGTTCTCTAGGAAACATGAACTTAGCATTGGCAATACTGCCATGAATGCCCTTGTCAGGGAACATTCTTGTATCAGTTGCATAAATACAACCTTGATGTCACATATTTCTAATAGATTTGTTGGTTAATTTTAACATGCATGTATACATCTATCGTAGTTTTCATAATTAAAAAAAAAATCCAATATAGAGCTTCTTCAGTGTATAAAGCCTGCTTGATACTTTTTAAAACCAAGGTGGTGTTATCAACATTTTTTTTCTTTGCTTATAAAACTTTTCACATGGAATAACCATTCAGTGTTTAAACGACTGTCATCTTACTGCTTGGTCATCTTTAGTACAATGTAATTTTATAAATGACATGACCTGTGATAGTAACAGCTATGAGAAACTCAAATGAGTCCAGCTGAGCACCACCAACATGGATAGATAGGGGCTAGCAGAGATGATGTATGAGGAGCATCAGAGCAAGCTAGGTTTGTTTAGCCTAGGAGAGGAGGTAAGAGACATACTCCTGCTGTTTTAAGCTGCTTAATGGGTGTTAGTAGAGAAGATGGATTCTTTTCAGAAGGGCACAGTGAAAGTACAAGGGTCAATGGATCCAAATTGCCTCAGGAAAAATTTATTTTGGATTTCAGAAAAGAGTTCCACAATGACAGCAGACAAGGACTGAAGCAGTGTCCTCGTTTCAGCAGAGATAGTTTTCTTCCTAGTAGCTAGTATGGTGTAGTGTATTTTGGGTTTAGGATGAGAATAATGCTGGTAGCACACCAGTGTTTTAGCTGTTACAGAGCAGTGCTTACACAGAGCAGAAAGGACTTTTCAGCTTCTCATACTGCCCTGCCAGCAAGAAGGCCAGGTGTGCACAAGGAGCTGGGAGGTAACACGGCCAGGCCATCTCATCCAAACTGGCCAAAAGGCTGTCCCATACTCTACGGTATCATGCAGAATGATAAAACTTAGGGGGAGTCAGGTGGGGGGGAGGCCACTGCTCAGGGGCATTGGTTGTCAAGTGATAAGCAGTTGTATTGGGCACCACTTGTTCTGTATATTCTTTTGTCATCTTTTTTTTTCCTCTTCCTTTTCTATCCTCTTAAACTGTCATTATCTCAATGCACGAGGTTGTTTTTTTTTTTTTTTTTCCCTCCCCACCCTTTTCTTTTTTACACCCTTTCCCCCCCCTTTTTCTCATTCTCTCCCCCATCCCGCTGTGGGAAGCAGGATGCGTAAATGAACAGCTGTGTGGTGCTGAGCTAAATCACAAGAAGTCACACAAAGAGATGGTGGAATTTCCATTCCTGGAAATATATAAGGTTTTGATTTAGGCAAGACACTGAGTGACGTGATCTAATGTTGAAGTTAGTTTTACATTGTGAGAAGGTGGTGAGGTCCCATCCAATGTGATTTTTTTTTATGGATCTAGGCAGCTACTGACTTTTAAGTAATTTTTCTTAGTTCCAAAATAATGATGGATATGCAGGCTTTAATTATTTATACTGAGAAGAGATATGGTTATTAGTAATGGTTATTAGTCATTCACATTTTTCTGTTTTGAAATAAACCAAATACATTTCTGTAAATGCTTTTGTAAATGGTTCAAACAAACGTAAGCATTTGATCATTCATCAAATAAGATCATTCTCAGAGTTTTTGGAAATGTATTTTTGCCTCAGTTTCTTATGCAGTTTGGAATAAGCTTTTTCATTTTGCAAACAGAAGAGCATTGTACTTTACAGAACTTGTCAAGAATTTTGAAAACTCGACAGATAAATGTTTGGGATTTTATATGGTTTCTCTGAGTAAAGGAATGTTATTTGGAACCCTGGAAAATGGGGAACAGAAATTCACCCCAGACAGCAGTAACTTGCATAATCAAGATTTGCATAGCAAGTCACATTTAGAAATCATGGGAGTTTCCAGGCCTTGTATTACAGTATAGATGGACTGTTCTTGCAAATGTCTCTGACACAGTAGGTGTGATATGGGTTTTATTTCAGTGTTTTAATTGAAATACCTTTCTTCCCCTCAAAAAAATGTAACTATTTTTACCCACTGAAAGGAAACTTAATTTTTTTCTCTGAGTTCACTTTTGTCTGTTTACAGCATCTCATGTCCTTATTCAAGCATAGGATTTGGGGTGCACATTCTTTTCCAGGCTGAAGAAATACAGAAGAACTTATAACAGTTTGTTTTTCTCCTTTTTTTTTTCTTTTTTTTTTGTTAAAGAATTGTATAAGAAACCTTGGAACAGAGTTCATCAACCTCATCTTAACATATCTGTTCAAACGTTATTTCAAAATTCAGAAGGTAAGCCATCAGTGAATGACATCAGCATGATTAGACCATGCTGAAATGCTTCTCTCTTATAAACTTGTCTGCATATCACCTTTTCTAAGGTGTTCTTACAAGAAAAAACATAGGAAATAAAAGTATGTTGATAAAAGAATGCACCTTTACAATTTGAAGCAAGAAATGTACTGTCTTCAGATGTCTTCCTTCCTGCAGTCTGTTTGTGAAACAATCTCTTAGTTTTATTGCCTTTACTTGTTCATTTTTATAGAAGAAGAAAATACAGAACGAAGGCTATTTGTTACATATTGTGATTGGCTATATCAAATACATTGCATTTTTTCTGTAGCTGGATTCAAGTGAGCTTCATAACCAACATTCTTGTTTGCACAACTCTGAATGATGATTCCTTCAGGGAGAGAAAAAAAAAAAGCCTGCTAGAACTGGGGCAAGAAGCCAGAGAAGCAGTTTTAAGGAAGGCTTTAATACTTTTGATTTGCTTCCTCATCATTTTTGATTAGGAGACCATAAAATTTTGAGGACATCAGGGTTCCTTACCAGGAGAGAGGAAGATCATACTTATTAGATGTATAACACACTAGCTTTCTGTTTTCTTCTGTTGTACTTATGACAAGTAATTGCTTGTACTCTTTGTCCTTAATTAGTGCTGCTTCTTGCTGATGACGTTTCTTCCTGTTTCTCTGGTTCAGCCTCCCTCTTCCTCCTTTCCCTCTCCCTAACTCTTCTGGGAGGGAGCTGTATTGCTGAGGCCATGTTCGTCACCGATGTAAAATTCCACTTAAGTATCTGTAGACTTTACAACCTTGCTGTTGCATGGAACAGCATCGTATAAAGACATGTTTGTAGGTTTGGTGTAAATTTTATTTGCTGGAAATACACCATGTCTTTCTCTTATCCTCGTACACACAAACAAAATTTTGCCAACAAACAAGCATACAAACAAAAGCAGAAGTGAAAAAATCATGCTTAGGAAAAGGCATTTTAATTACAAATGAAGTAGAACTTCTAATTAGAAAAAAGCATGAGAGTTTGAAGTAATTTCATTTTTAAGATTCTTGCTGTTCAATATTTGTGTACTCCTATAAGCATTTTACATGGAAGTTGGTACAGTTATATTGCCAAACTCATCCTAGTACAGGCCCAGCTAAAATCAAATTTGTGTATGCTTACCCTACTTGGTAGCATATATTATTCTATTCTTTTCTTTTTTTCTTTGCCAATACAACTGCATCTGTATGAAAACTGTTGGCAGCATTGTTGTTATAACCATATCATTTTTCATACTCCTAGCTGGAGTAAGTGCTTTGGTAATAAATAAATCAGGTTGTAGATCAAATGTTGGCCTATTTATGTATATAACTGAAAGTAGATAATAACAATTTCGTTGGTTTGCTCATTCGTTGTTTGCTTAACTGAGGATGTTCCCATGATCTGGTGAAAAAGAGGTAATAAACTTTCTGAAACAGATATTGTATGTTTCAGCTTTTGATTGCTTTTTCCTGTCATTTAAATGGAAAAAGTTAATAAAATCTTTCTTTAATTTTCCTTGGAATCATTTCTGTTTTGTACTCTGTCATATTTATATAGGATTTTTGGTTAGTCAAAATGTTTTATCTTTGGATTGTTATGAGTATCTTGAAACTTACAGGTGATACTTCAACAGGAGTTGGAGTATTTTACCATCTGAAATTATATAGCTGTTTCACAGTCTGTAATTTATTACTGTCATGAATCTGAAATAGTGAATTTAAAAATATTTCTACGTGCAAAGTATTACTGTTTGACATATGTTCAGAGTTGTGTTTTTTTAATCAGCTGACCTTAAGAGAAGGTGGCAATGCCAGCACTATGCTTTTTTCTTTTTTATTACGCTACTTGTATAAAAAATGCACATTTAATTGTGGATGTTCCAACATGTGTACTTTTTTCTGTTATTTGTTCTGGTACCGTTCTTCATAGGACCTACCTCATTTTTACAAAACAGACATGCATGTATTTGTATTTAACCATTTCTTTAAGGTTTTATGAAATGTTTTACCTATCCTTGGGACTTCTGTGTACAAATGAGAATGAGGTCTTATCTCCATCAGATGAAAGTATGACTTGTAATAATGTAATTAAGTATTGAGTTTCTTTGAAAATGCAACCAGTAACCTTTCAATGCTATGGCTGGTTTTTGTTGGATTTTTTTTTTTTTTTAATAAAATAGACGTTTGCAGTATTACTCTGGAAATAAAGTTTTTTATAAAAGCCTCAGTATATGTTATGAACACTTTGGCATGTCGAACTCAAGTGGTTTGTAATGTCGAGTCTTTCAACCATTGAGAGACTAATCTCTTATCCCTGACTGGCTGTAATGTGTTTTTTACACCTACACTTCCAGTGTTCTGCAAAGAAGAGCTGTGAGAACATTTTGGAAAAATACAAAAGTAAAATAATCAGCTCTGTAAATCTTGTGTGAAAGACCTTAACTAAGATAAGCATGGAAAATAATTGTCTAGATTCTGTACCAAAATATAAATTGTATTGTTATGGCTTTTTTTGACAGATAAGGTTCATGAAACAGCCCAGTAAGTAAAAGCTCTGTAACTGCTTCTTGCTGCTCCTCTTGTTTTTCTATAGTAAGCTGTTATTAATCTAGAGGACTGAAGGTATGCAAATGTCACATGCTAAGGTATATAAATGCAGCTTTTGTGTAAATGATATGTGACACTGTATCCACGCTTGGAGACTGCGTTACAGGGAAGACATTTTTCTGTACTAAACCAAGATGTTACATGAGGGGAATTATAGGGACTTCAGAAATAAACTTATTCAGTACTGTGTAGTATAGTTAACTTTACTGCAAAGATAATCTAATTAAGAAACACTTCACCATTGTGGTTTGAGGAGCAACTAATTAAGATCTTATATGATGATGGTAGCAATTCTCACTTACAAACCATGAAAAAACTGTTGTGGTTTTAGTTTTTTTTTTTTTTTTAGTGTTGCAACTCAGGAGCCAAGTAGGCATTTTCAGTCCATCAGGCGTCAGTTATAATAGTCATAAAGAAGGTGAAGGCAGATGTTTCCTACCTGACTTTTTACACTTAAGCAAGAGTGCTCCATCAGCTGTTAAAGTAAAATAGGATTTCTTTTTTTTTAACTTATGGTATCTTTTGGGATAGTAACTATTGTTAAAGCAAAAATGATTTACAGTCATTGTCATTCTTTTCCCTTTAAAAGGCACCCAGAGTATTACATACTTAGAAAAATAATTCCAGTTTGGAGTTTTATTATTTCACTCTATTTTGTGTCTATGTTTTTTTACATCATGTTTTCTTTCTTTTGAGGGGGAGAGAGGAGGGCAGGGGGCATATCAAGTGACTTTCATCTCATTAAAGAGTGAATAGACAAGGTCTAACACTCAGAATTTATTTGCGTCATTGTATGTTGCTCATCCCGTTCTGACTGAAAGCGCTTATAGTCTAGACTAAATTGTTAAGCGTATGCCCAAGTTGAATGCACATATTTAAACTGATACTTCATGGCTCTTTAGAAATACCCAGATAGATGGAAAAATATATATGTGAAACATACAAGATACTCACTTTTTGCATAACACTAGTATTTTCTGACATTTCCCTGTATGGTTGCTTTGACTTAGTAGAAAAAAGCAGCAGTGTTACCCTACCTACAAATGAGTTTGTGTTGCTACATTAAACCACTCTAACAAAATTCAGTTCTGTGGGTTAATTAGTTGTGGTTGTTTTTTTGTGTGTGTGTATGTTGGTCATACTTAATGTAATGAGGCTAGCAGTCATTTGATGGTCTGGCTTTTCCTACATAACCCTGCGTGCTGTGGTACCATGCGTTCAGCTTACTCAAGTATTTAGATACATAAATAAAAGCATATTTACAAAAGGCATACTGTTAGATCGTATAACATTTTTGCTTGAAAAGATCAACTATTTTATTTGATTGTGTACTCATGTGTAGTTTGATATTTTTTCATTCTAAAGAAGAAACATGAAAAGCTAACAACAAATCTTCACTGTTTCTTTAACAATATTGTCTAAAAGGATTTTTAGTGTAGGTAGTGCAGTTGTACATTTTAATGGAATTGCAAAAGCAAATGGCGCAAGGTTGTCAAAAGATGTAAATTCCTACTATACAGAGATAAGAAGTGTTTGTTGTTGTTGTTGTTTTGTTGTGATGTCTCCCCCCCTCCCCCCCCCCCCAACATCAGTGTTTGCTTCTGCAGAGTCCTTTGATAGTCAGTGTTTGTGGATGTACAGTTAGCTGCCATGTTCCAGGCACCAAGCCAGTACCATTACCTGGATTTCACAACATTATTGTAAAAAGATATATAAGTATGACTTTTCTGAAGTTGCTTTCTTTCTTATTCCCTGCCACTTTTTTCAAAGCACGCACCCATGCACTGTTCGTATTCTCTCTCCCAAATATTCTTTTAATTGGAATTATATTAATCAATCAATTTTTCATGTAGCCTTTTTATTTAATTTGAATTATTCATTTTTATCTCAATTTGAAGGGGAAGGGACTTCCATTAATACAGATTTTCTTTTAGAATTAACTCCTGTAGCTTGATTTTAGGTGAAAATTATTGCTGTGAAAAAGCTGAACATTAAATTTTTTCAGTTTGGTAAAAGGAAGTTCACAGTGAAAGTACTGCACAGTAGTCTGAATGCCACGTGTATTAGGCAAAGTTTTAAAGTTTTGCTTGAACTATAATAGAGGATAGGAAAAGGTTGACACATAGTAAGTAGCATGTAATTTCAATTTTGAAAAGGTGATGTAAAAGGAAGTTTATTTCCAAGTTCATTGGGTGGAGTTATATCTATCTATTTATTTATTTATTTATTTAGTCACTTGTTCTTGGTTCCATTTTGAGCCATGCCACGCTTTTGACAGAAACTAATTAATTGCTTCAGAAGCTTTTATTATAATGCATTCTATACTTAGCTTCTTTGCCCATTTAAATTTTTGTTAAAATCTTGATTCAAAAACTAGCTCATGCTTCTTTAAGGGAAAAAGATATTTTATTTTATTTATTTTTTCTTTACTCTGGGGAATGGATGACTAATGAAACACTTCAGAATGAGGATATCTTAGTTCCTGGAGAACTTTTGTTTTGAAATAGTACCAACTGCTTCAGGAAACTTCAAAGGATTATGTATCCCTTGCTGCCATGTAATATTTTGAAGTTTTTGGCAAAAGTATACGGCCTTTTTAGTTACAAGAAGTACATATTTCCATTCTCGATTACCAAGAGTTTTAGTAATACTGTTTGTGGGTTGTTCTTTTTGCTTTACTAATTTTCCGTTCTAGACATGGAATGTAATTATTGAGAGAGTATTGTTATTGTTATTATTTCCCTTAACAGCGGCCTCACTTTATTTTTCACTTAATCCAGTCACTACCAAAAAAAATGTTTATGCTGCATGTGTACACGCGTACATGCACTTAGTACATAATAGCCCTTAAACACATTCACATTTTAATAAATGTGATTCATTTTGCTCATGAAGAATAGTAGCTGGACCATAAAGTAAATATTTAATGTTTACACAAAGATACTCATACATGCTATGTTCTGTTCTTAAGTGAAATTTATTTTGTAGACTGTTCTAAAGTTCCAGGAACAATTGTGCCTCTTTTATCAGACATGAGTGTAAGAAAGGATAGAGATTTCATCATTTTTAATACAGGTAGCCCTTTAGAAAGGTTATCATTAGAAATTAGTATGTTCTAGAAAGTTTGTTGAAAGGTATGCAGTATTCATATGCATTTGCAGCCTGTTTGAGGAAACATGAAGCCCGAAGTTACATGCAGAATTAAATAAGATAAATTTCATATTCGAGAAAATAATGGCAAGAAGGCTCTTCAGTGCGTGACATCATAAAATATCTCAACTATTTTCACACCTAAATTTGTTTTAAATTTGTGTGAAGTTTTGCTGTTTGTATTAGGGAGCAGTAATGTCTTTGAAAAGCTTACACTCACTCATATGCAAACCAATCCGTCTTTGGACCATCAACATAAAAAAACATATGCATATTTTAAATTTAACCCATTCGTACTATGCATTCTTACCCTGTCTCCTTCGTCTTCTTTCTTCTGTCCTTAGCGTGCTTTCATCAAAGGTTATCAGAACAACTTGTCCGCACGAGTTGTGGCATCTCACTTAGCAGTTTGCGTATCGGAAGTGCAACTCTTTAGTGAACGTAGCCTGGAGTCTACAGCTGCATAGCTTTGTGAACTATACTGAAGTTAGAAAAGCAAATGTCTGGATGATCTATAAAGTTATTTCCTTTCTTTTTCTTTTTTTTTTTTTTTTTTTTTTTAAGATTTTTCTCAGCTTGGCTGTTCAGTCTAAGCCATGCATCTGTACGGTGTTACCGTTGAGGTACAGTAAGACTTTGTCTTGGTGAGAAAGAACTCAGCATTCCGGTTTTAAAATTGTGAGTCCATCATTTCTTGCAAGGCTAAAGCAGCCTTATTTGAACTTCAGCTCCTTTGTGGTAGACCTACATCTGGTGTGTGTGGGGGGGAAATAGGCAGGCGTTCAGCAAGCGGACAGATTTTGGTTGGGCAGGCTTTTTTTCCTCCTCCCACGAGTTCAGGGGGCTCCGCCGGTAACAGACGCGCAGGCCCCGCCGCCAGCGGCCGCGGCTGCTCGGAGCCCCGGGGCGGGGCCTCGGCCTCAGCTCGGCTGCTGCAAGGGCCGGGCCGCGTGGGGCGCCTCGGTCGGGGCAGACCTGGGTTTCGCTGTTAGTTGTATTTGCGTGCGGTTTTTTAAATCTGTTTCTGTAACTGAAACTCCTTAACCGTGAGTCACGAGTTCTTGTTCACAGTGCTAAAAACGTGCAAAAGTTAGACCCGGCTAAACTGTTGCGTTGTTGCCGTTGATTGAACAATCAGTGACAGTTTGAAATGGAAGTTATTCTGCTGGTGTGTAAAACGGTTAATCTTTAGAGTTAAGAAGAAATTCTAGAGACCGTGTTTGAGTGCGGTTTCGTTTTTAGGTCAAATGAGATGTTAGAATGTGTAACTGTATAGGATTCGTCCCCAAAATGTCGGAGTGGGGGGTGGCTACTTCCTGCTCGTAAGGCTTTTTACAATGCGCTCTCTGATGGGAGAAGGAGTATTTTTCATCCAGGCATTGAAGGAGCCTCTACTAGTTTTTTACTGCCGGGTCTTCTTTGATGCTGACAAATACAGCAAAGCTGCTTTATTGAGAGTACCACTAACTTTATTTATTTATTAGCACTTCCTAGGTCATTTCTATCAGGAAGCAGCATGTTCTCAAACAAAAAGGAATGCAAAATTGTCTGAATTCAAACTAACTCTTATAATAATCTAATGCAGATTGAGAATCCATAATTTGGATGAACCCCAGTGCATTGTTTAATGCTTGCCTGATACTTCTAGTAGTCTAAAGCATGTTTCTCATTTGATTGCTATAAAGTGTTATTCCCCTGAATCTCTCTAAAAATTTGCTGTCACAGAACTTTCTATGTGCAGAATATTTCTGGTCGTTAGGTATTACCTCTGTTTTTAAAAAGAATTTTTAGAATTAATGTAAAATTCATCTTTACAACGTACTTAAAACTTGCTAGGAATCTTGCAAATAAATTAGCAAAATTAAAAGTGAAACTTCACAGAGCAAAGGGTACAAGAAACAATTACAAGAAAGGGGGAAAAGTGTAAAAGCATCTGGAATTTCTAGTGTAATACATTTTAATCTGCTTATTTGTCCTTTGACTAATTTCAGTGTTCTCATATTGTTTTCCTCAGTTTCTTCAAAGCCCACAGATCCTTAAAAGTGCTGGAAAAACTATGAGCAAATAAATTACTGGACCACATTATAGGTTTCTAAAGGTTACTGACACAATTAAAGTAAACTGTCTAATTGTTAAGCAGTTGGTAAAAAGGTAGTTTTAAAGGTTGGTAAAAAGGTAGTTTAAAGTCTAAAAGGTAGTTTAAAATGAACTTCTTTGCTCTGTGAAGTTTATAGAATATCTGAATTATTTGGTATAGCACTTGGTGCTTGCCCTTTGGGAAGCATACCAGAGGAATGCCCTTTCCTTGGTTTTGTAATAATTATGAATTAGAGTTTGTTGCTTTTGTCGAAGGCTTTGGGCTTCATGAAATAATTTTCAACACACTTCATAGTTGTTCCATGTGCTTTTCCTACTGAGAATCTCAAAGATAATTTCCAATCAAATCCAAGATCGCAGAATAGTACATTCTGCTAATACTGGCAGGTCCCAGTTATTTCTGGTTGTGAAATCTGAATTTTTTCTTCATTATCAGAGTAATTCGGCAAGGAGTGGTCTAATGTTAGACTTGGCTTTGAGAACTTGAGAAAATACTATGAAGCAGCTGGTCATAGGAAATTAACCTTAGGTCAGCAATTACTAGCTCAGGGTAAGCAAAATAGATAAGAATGTTGCAATCTTAAGGCAAACTTTGGAAAATCAGTCAAATTAACTACTTTTTCAAACAGTGTGCAGTTGAATTGCTGAATTCATTTGCCACACGATCTTTCAAAACCAAAAAATGAAGAGAGAAAAAAAGCACACAGGGACGAATAGAAGGAAAAGGTGAACAGACAGATTCAGAGAAGAAATGCCAGCCAGACTTAAACACATAAATGTTTATACAAGATCTGTCTCAGGAAGTCCCTAAACCACAGCTTAACTGGTGAGAGGAACCTGAATCTCAAAAACAGCTACTGTACCATTGCCTTTTCCTATGCTCTTTTTCCTTAGCATTCTCTGACATGGGGTAACGTGTTTTAAAATGTTGAAAAGAATCACTATTACAATATTAATTTTTTATACTATGTTTTTCATGATTCATGGGAAGAACATAAGGAAATGGATGGGGGAGAGGGAGAAATGAGAAAATTTTGTAGTACTCTTGAGAAAATCTGATTGTGCTCTGAAGGAAAGCTTTGTTGGGAATTTCTGCCAGTTTCAGCATTTTTAGACTGTTTCAGAGGGTACAGGAATTATTCACACCAGTCAGAGGCTATTTTGGACATAAATTCTTGAACAAAACTCCACCTGAACTACTGGTAACATTTTGTTTCACATACTTATTTGAAAGTTGCTTGATTTCTAGTGTGCTTATTTGTCTGGTTTTCTGTATTAGGCTGTGTTGCTACAGTAACAAATGTGGAATGTTTAACTTCAGTGATCCAGTAGGATGAGGTTATTCAGGAAGCACTATGGCCTTATGTCCTTCTTTTAGTTTTGGGGTTGCTAAGTACGAAGTAATGATAATATTTCTTTAAATGCAGAAAGTGAGCTCATTGAGGTGGTGGGGTTTTTTGTTTGTTTTTTGTGTTTTTTAGTGTTTCAGGTAATACTGACTTTCTGAGAAGTCTCAAATATTTACAGACACTTTTGAGTGGCCTTTTGGATTAGCAGCCCTGCTTCTGAAAGATTTTTTTCTGAGGTTATCAGTGTGCTTGAGTAGAGAATGGCAAAACTTTATAAAGGTCAGCAACAATTTTTGTTTGCATGAGATGCAACATGATGTTATACTGCTTAGTTGAGAATCTGGTACGTCAGAAAGAGTGAATGTCTTTCAGGAATTTTCAGTTTTCTCTGAAGCACTTTAAATCAGCTGTCAAACTGAAAAACTCATTGACATCATGTTATTTTAATTTCCTTTAAAACCTGTGTATTTTTAACTACATTGCAATGTTGTATCACTTACTGCAAGAGCTCTAATATTTCCATCTGTCTCTGCCAGGCTTTAGTAGAAAATGCTTGTCATATTGAGTCACTGTTATTTTCTTTGTATTCCTAAAAGGATTGATGCAGCCCATTTGTTTAAAATCTCTGCAGTAAAGGTCTCTATACAAATAAATGCTTCCATAGTAGATCTCAGAAACCACTGTTGTGGGAAAGTTAATGAAGTTTGAAAAGGCTAGTCTATATTTGTAACACTCACAGAAGTAATACCATGGCAATTAAAAGCATTGGCAATTTTGTTAGTGATGTATATTCTTCCATAAAAAGCCTCTTCCTTTTTTTCTGAAAAACAAACAAACAAAAAAACCTCTAAACAATATAGAACAATGTTAAACATGAAAAATGAACTGCAGGTTAGTGGTTTAAGTATTCAGAGTACTCAGTCTGAAGCAAATGTTTCAGTGTTGAGCTTTTTGATAAAAGAACCAAATGACTTACTCTTCTGATTAGCAAATTAAGCTCAGGCCAAAAAGAAATCATCCCAAACTATTCAGTGAATTGCATTCAATCCACAGCTTTGGAAGACCAAAACCAGACTTTTTTTTTTTTTTTTTTTTTTTAACTAAGTTGTTATTTGGTGGGGAAAATAGCTCCAAGCTTATTCTTTCTCCTAAATATTAACTACCATTAAATAACAATTGCAGCGTTACCTTGAACAACTTGAGATGCTTGCGCTTATGTTGTGTTTTGCATATGTTCTTAATCCTGTTCTTATGACTCAGAGGACACAAAATAGACATGACTGAGAAAGAAAAACGTAAACATTATACAATCACATTTGTGGGTAGAGCTATAACAAGGAACAGACCATTGGCACACTCTTGGAACAGAGGAAGGACTGATTCTTTCTAAACTCATCCAGGAACTGGAATGTTTTCAACTTCCAGTTTACCACCTTTGTCAGTCAAGTCCAGTTAAAAAAGGTCGATTTTTTTCTGTTTTATAACTTCAGTGACTCTTCAGTCATCTGCCTTGTATTTCTTTTTGCTTCAGTTTGTTTATTGTAATCTTTTTTACGTATCATGATGATGCAGTATAGCATCTAGCACAAAATCATAGAATTATAGAATATCAGAGTTAGGAGGGGCCCACAAGGATCATTGATACTTTTGAAAATCTCAAAGGAATTGTAAATGTGCAGTTCAGAATGTACAAATGCAGGCAGGTTGTTACAGGTGCAAAAATGCTTGGTAGAAGGGAAGCAAGCTGTTATATGTCCAGGAAAGATTCTTGTGTTTAAATCTTTTCTTAACAGAATTTTACTAAGGCAAACAGATCTTTTCATGCTAATGGCTGTGTGAAATAAATGTGGCCTAGAGGCTTAACTATCAGATGGCTTTATGAATATTTCCTCATTTCCTATAGCTGTCATTTATGAGAGAATTCTAACTAAGGAACTAAGTAAGGTCTAGATGCATTATGTGTGACTATGGTAAGACTAGAAAAAAGTTCATTTGATGAACCACCTAAGTGAGTAGCTCAAGATAGCTGTCTAGGAAAAATGTATTAATCTCTTTTTCCTTTATGCAAGTCTGTTAAATGTTGTTTTTTATTGATACTGATCACTGCTTTTCTGTAACAATACTAATGCAGTTTATTACAAGATTTCTTATTCTTTGATACAGAAAATTGAGGGGGAAGTTTTTTTGTGAGGCTGCATTTTGACTGACTAATGTAGATTTCTAGGGCAGACAAGGTAGACTACTATTTCCTTTCCAACTTAGATTCATTTTAGTGCTGTTTCCATAATTTTTGTGAAAAAGGTTTAATTCATTTTTGATGTGCATATCAAAAATAAAATTAATTTAACTGTTAAGAGATTTTTTTTCTTGTACTGTGTATCTGTTTT